TTTAGTATGCTGTGTGGTATCATTGTTTAAAGAGAACTTTAGTATGCTGTGTGGTATCATTGTTTAAAAAGAATCCTCTTTAGTATGCCGTTTGGAATCGTTGTTTTAAGAGAATTATCTTTGGTGTGCTGTGTGGTATCATTGTTTAAAGTGAACTTTAGTATGCTGTGTGGTATCATTGTTTAAAGAGAACGTTAGTATGCTGTGTGGTATCATTATATAAAGAGAACTTTAGTATGATGTGTGGTATTCTTGTTGAAAGAGAACTTTAGTATGCCGTGTGGTATAATTGTTTGAAGAGAAATATCTTTGGTGTGCTGTGTGGTATCATTGTTTAGTCAGAACGTTATTATGATGTGTGCTATCATTGTTTACAAAGAATCCTCTTTAGTATGCCGTTTGGAATCATTGTTTTAAGAGAATAATCATTAGTATGCTGTGTTGTATTATTGTTTAAAGAGAACTTTAGTGTGCTGTGTGGTATAATTGTTTAAAAATATCTCTCTTTAGTATGCTGTGTGGTATAATTGTTTAAAGAAAACCTTAATATGCTGTGTGGTATCATTGTTTAACGAGAACTTTAGTATGCTGTGTGGTATCATTGTTTAAAGAGAACGGTAGTATCCTGTGTGGTATCATTGTTTAAAGTGAACTTTAGTATGCTGTGTGGTATCATTGTTTAAAGAGAACTTTGATATGCTGTGTGGTATCATTGTTTAAAGAGAGATCTCTTTAGTATGCTGTGTGGTATCATTGTTTAAAGAGAACTTTAGTATGCTGTGTGATATCACTGTTTAAAGAGAACTTTAGTATGCTGTGTGGTATCATTGTTTAAAAAGAATCCTCTTTAGTATGCCGTTTGGAATCGTTGTTTTAAGAGAATTATCTTTAGTATGCAGTGTTGTATTATTGTTTAATGAGAACGTTAGTATGCTGTGTGGTATCATTGTTTAAAGAGAACTTTAGTATGCTGTGTGGTATCCTTGTTTAAAGAGAACTTTAATATGCTGTGTGGTATCATTGTTTAAAGAGAACTTTAATATGCTGTGAGGTATCATTGTTTAATGAGAACTTTAGTATGCTGTGTGGTATCATTGTTTAAAGAGAACTTTAGTATGCTGTGTGGTATCATTGTTTAAAGAGAACGTTAGTATCCTGTGTGGTATCATTGTTTAAAGAGAACTTTAATATGCTGTGAGGTATCATTGTTTAATGAGAACTTTAGTATGCTGTGTGGTATCATTGTTTAAAGAGAACTTTAGTATGCTGTGTGGTATCATTGTTTAAAGAGAACTTTAGTATCCTGTGTGGTATCATTGTTTAATGTGTATGCTGTGTGGTATCATTGTTTAAAGAGAACTTTAGTATGCTGTGTGGTATCATTGTTTAAAGAGAGATGCTGTGTGGTATCATTGTTTCTTTAGTATGCTGTGTGGTATCATTGTTTAAAGAGAACTTTAGTATGCTGTGTGGTATCATTGTTTAAAAAGAATCCTCTTTAGTATGCCGTTTGGAATCGTTGTTTTAAGAAAATTATCTTTGGTGTGCTGTGTGGTATCATTGTTTAAAGAGAATGCTGTGTGGTATCGTAAAGAGAACTTAAGTATGCTGTGTTGTATCATTATATAAAGAGAACTTTAGTATGATGTGTGGTATTCTTGTTGAAAGAGAACTTTAGTATGCCGTGTGGTATAATTGTTTGAAGAGAAATATCTTTGGTGTGCTGTGTGGTATCATTGTTTAGTCAGAACGTTATTATGATTTGTGCTATCATTGTTTACAAAGAATCCTCTTTAGTATGCCGTTTGGAATCATTGTTTTAAGAGAATAATCATTAGTATGCTGTGTTGTATTATTGTTTAAAGAGAACTTTAGTGTGCTGTGTGATATCACTGTTTAAAGAGAACTTTAGTATGCGGTGTGGTATCATTGTTTAAAAAGAATCCTCTTTAGTATGCCGTTTGGAATCGTTGTTTTAAGAAAATTATCTTTGGTGTGCTGTGTGGTATCATTGTTTAAAGAGAACGTTAGTATGCTGTGTGGTATCATTATATAAAGAGAACTTTAGTATGATGTGTGGTATTCTTGTTGAAAGAGAACTTTAGTATGCCGTGTGGTATTATTGTTTGAAGAGAAATATCTTTTGTGTGCTGTGTGGTATCATTGTTTAAAGAGAACGTTAGTATGCTGTGTGATAGCATTGTTTAATGAGAACTTTAGTATGCCGTGTGGTATAATTGTTTGAAGAGAAATATCTTTGGTGTGCTGTGTGGTATCATTGTTTAAAGAGAACTTTAGTATGCTGTGTGGTATTATTGTTTAAAGATAACTTTAGTATGCTGTGTGGTATCATTATATAAAGAGAATTTTATTATGCTGTGTGGTATTATTGTTTAAAGAGAACTTTAATATGCTGTGTGGTACCATTGTTTAAAGAGAACTTTAGTATGCTGTGTGGTATCATTGTTTAAAGAGATAGTTAGTATGCTGTGTGGTATCATTGTTTAAAGAGATCTCTCTTAAGTATCCTGTGTGGTTTCATTGTTTAAAGTGAACTTTAGTAAGCTGTGTGGTATCATTGTTTAAAGAAAACTTTAGTATGCAGTGTGGTATCATTGTTTAAAAAGAACTTTAGTGTGCTGTGTGGTATCTTTGTTTAAAGAAAACTTCAGTGTGCTGCGTGGTATCATTGTTTAAAGTGAACTTTAATATGCTGTGTGTTATAATTGTTTAAAGAGAACTTTAATATGCTGTGAGGTATCATTGTTTAACGAGAACTTTAGTATGCTGTGTGGTGTCATTGTTTAAAGAGAACTTTAGTATGCTGTGTGGTATCATTGCTTAAAGACAATTTTAGTATGCTGTGTGCATCATTGTTTAAAATCTGTGCTCGTCTGAGAACACGGCTGTATCTATTTCAAATGACATCTTTTATCATTCTTGTTTAGTTTCAACATAAATGAACATCTTGTAAACCTGCATTACCTACTGAAGCGGATATTTCTCTCTACCTCATCTGTTACATTTAATTCGTGATACGGCTTTGTTAAGCCATGGGCAAATGTATGTGTTATAAACAAGATAATTATCGTCACTGTTTTGGGAAATATGTCAGTTTTTCGAGTTTATATCTGATGTTGCTCTTTGCCACTATAATTCATTGTGTCGCCGTCTATGTTTTGCTGCACTTGTTCCTTGTAAGCTTCTCTCGAGGTACATGACGGAACAACTGTTTTCTGGATATTGACCTTTAAAGGAAATTAGCTTCAGGGAAAATTTCAGTTTGTAAAATATGGCTATGATCTTTGACAAGATTGTTGTTTTCTTTTTATAAAAGCTTTAAAGATGAAAAAATATATTCGAAGGGCCGACAAAGGATTGGTGTTGATATGGGAGAAAAATACTGTTTCTTTATGTGTGTTTATAGGATAGGAATATTGCATCCCAGATTTGACAAAATGTAGTAAAAATTATCGGCTTTCACAATATGTTATGACCCCCGGATGAAATGCCTTTATCCTGCAAACACGCACGTAAAAGCGTGCAAAAGATACTTATATTCTTTGTTTAGAGGAACAAATGTCATTTCAATGAATATATTGTCAAGAAATACCATTTCATGTACAGAGATCCTTGGTGCTTCTTGGTATCAGGATGTCTATAAATGTTATCATAATAAACAGTTACAAAGGTCACTGTATACTGTTTACAGTTTATATGTTCACAAGTGTGTAGGTGTGTAGAAAATGAATGTTGTAAATTACTTGGCAAATTGTCACAATCTATTCCAAATGTTCCTAATATCTTAATGTTTAAACGATGTCACTCGGTGTAGGCTGAAATTACATCTGTTACCAAATTACTGGATAGTCATTACAGAATGGAGCATGCCAGTTTAGCTTTCATAATATATTTTAGTGCAGATAAAACATTAATGCTAATTCATAGTGCTGTAATTATTTCAACTCACTGCGAATACAACCACTCCTTTCAATACGAAAGAGACAAATAGTCGATTTCTATATCTGCTTGTTCATAGAATATGGGTAAATTCATAAGGCGTTGATTTTCGTATAGAGTTAACATTAAACTTCTGTTTAGTAGACATAATTAATAATATAAAACTGCTAGGGTTTGATTTATATGTGTTCCAAAGATGTTGGTTTGTTGTCATATACAATATAACTGGTTCTAATTTGACCAAGAGCCTGGTTGTCAACTTTACTTATGTGTATCTTATGGGAAATACTTTCAAATCAAAGAGGAAATATACGGAAATAGACTGAATCGTAAAATAAACCCCTGGTTGACATTTTTTGTCGAGTTTGCTGGTAAAACTGACCATGTCTATTTGAACAAACTGTTCCCATCTCTTGTCAGACGTGTTCTTTTCATGTCAAGCTGAATTTTTTAAAGAGCTTACCATAGCAGGTCACTTGGGAACTTAAAGTCACTTTCAAGAATATTGATGATATCCTGCCTTTCAATAACAATATATCTATCAACCTTGTATAAAGTATATACCAGCCAGAATTCGAAATCAAAGATATAACTGACTTTTTAACATTAGCCATCTACCTCGACCTAATTTTCCAACAAACTGTATGGTAAACGTGATTTCTGTCATAAATTCTGCATTTCTTGATAGTAACATTCCTATATCTCCTAAAATTGTTACAGTTGTCATACTGATATCAAATGTTTAGCAGTCACTGAGTTATTAGTGATTTCCCTTAAAGTTTACCCTTCTGTATCGTATTTAATGTTTGATTAAGATCATGTTCACATATCGATGATTTCTTTTTTGTCTTAAATCGACAAAATACCTGTACGTTCCCCTTATCTATTCTTATCTATGAGAGGCTTTTCTATTCCTGAATTTACATTATGACTTATATTTGGTGTACTTTAATTAATGTATCTTCCGTAAAGTAACGATTTATTTTAACTCTTTCAAGGATTGTCACATTCTCAGGGCTGTTGTACTATAAGAAAAAACATTCTATGGAAAAATAAAGTTTAATGAGAACATCTGAAGATCAACACCAATGAAATATTAGATTGGATCTTTTCAGAATTTAATTTTGTAATGGACAATAGTAGCATGCATTCTGAAGAAGATTTTAGAAATAACATACGATGAAATAAAATGATTCAAGAACAAAATTGAGCGTACAATTTAAACGCCTCGTGACTTCATCACCGTGCACCGGATACATTATAGGTCGGATTGAAGTCTGTAGCATTGAAACAATTGTGGTTGCATGCATTACATTGATATCAGAAAAACGCCTCCCCTGCTTCTTACTTACAAATATTCTATATAATATACTTTAATTGTAACTATATATATATATATATAGATATAAAGATATCAAGTTTAGAAATAAAAAAAAAACTATGAAGTACTAGTCTTGTTAAAAATAACAATTGACGGCAGCCGGAATCATGGTAGCGCATGCGTGCTTTGAAACAAGCAACTCTTGGCCACAATCAGACATCGTTGTTGCTGTGTCGTCACAGGTCAGAGTGAGCCATGCTTGTGTATCGAGAACTCTCCTCCCCGAGGAAGATCGTTGTCCTCTCCTACAACACAGAACATAATATTACATCGTGGGACATTCTGAAATATGATGAACTATGTTGGTGTTATGTTGAAGTAATATATGAAAGATCAAAACTAAATTATAAACCTATAAAAGTTGGGATCACCCTCCTTAACGGCAAATAAAAAATGAAGAATGGTTGAAAACCTATAAAATTTGGAATAACACTCCTCCACGTCAAACTAACAATAGAGGACCATCGAAAACCTATAAAAGTTGTGATCACCCTCCTTCAAGGCTAATGAAATATGAATGACCATGATATCATTGCGATCATCCGCTTGACTTGACTTGTGAAAGCATTTGAGTTTATGGTAATCTTTCATTTTTTCGATCAGTGTGGATGTTTTGCTGACGCTTCCTAGTGTTTTGCCCACAGCTTCCCATACGAAGTGTGAACAGTGAAATAACTTCTGATTATGTGTTTTGATTATTAAATAATATCTTTACCTTGATACCCTGGGACTTATATATTCGGGTGGAGATATCTATATAAGCTGTTAAATGCGTATTGTTGTTCCAGGAATTATCAGCTGTGTAAGTATATATTATCACCAATAGATTTAATGAAAAAGAATACTTACGTGAATCCCATTTCTTTACAAATGACACTAGCTTCACGGTCAGAAAAGGTCCCATCCTGGTCACACACTAATGTCGTGAGAGATCGATACTTCATCATTACAATACCACTACTATCTCGCTCCGCTTTGACCAGCAATTCATCTAAAGCCAACCAAACATATATATATACTTATATTGTATGGAGAAATATTTTATGGATGTATTTGTGTTTAAGTATGATATAGCAAGCCAAATGTTGAAAGCGGTATTTGAATTTGCAATTACTAAATACTACAATATGTAACAATAGATAGAAATGAAATATTCAATAGATATATTTCGACCTGTATCTGTTCTTTAGAATAATTCGTTTTTTTTTCGTAACCATCAGGTACATATTAAGTTGATGCATTCAAGTGTAGCGTCATCACACTGAAACATTACAGCTTTTATGACATAGTTATTGACAAAATACGCCATATATAAACATTTGAATCACGACTCTTCTAAGTCATCCATTTACTTCAAGCTATTTCTACAGGAAAGTTACAAGGATAACTTTCTGTCAGGCTGTAGAATAAGCAGGATGATTCCTATTTCCCTCTTTAAATTGTCCATTTCTTTATTGTGCCCAATTTGCTTTCAAGTGTCTACATGTCACAGTGTTGATTCGATATTGCTGTATATTTCCAATATCATGATTACATTAATATGTATTAACATATGACAGGAAAAACACATTCATCTAAACTCTAGTTGCTATTTCTGCTTATTAACGTACCAGCATCTGTCTATATGTCGCACTTTATTCGATACTCATGGAGATTGTTCCCAGTATAAATATGTCAACTAATACGGGATTTCAGGAGGTGCAGGTCAATGAAAATTATAGTGAAGTTTTACTATCGTCACAATTTCATTGAGAAATATGCGTTTGGATTATAGTTATGTTTGGCTATAATTTCTTGTTGGTTTTGCTTCATTGATCTAACATGGGAATGATTTATTTCCATGTGCTATGTGAAATAGGCTGTTATCGATGCCCATCGTTTCCAGATTGTTAACATTATTCACATTTGAGAACGTGCTATTGCACTTGTTTGGAATGGTTCAGTTGGTGTCGTCGATGAAGCGAAATGCACTTACCTTTCCTGAACTCGTAGTCTTATTCTCATTGTACTTTTAAAGCATTTAATTGTTAATGACCCAAGCTTCTGTGTCTTTTGCACAAATATTTTACATGTTTTTTTGTTAATTTTTTTGTTTGTTTATGTTTTGCCCTCGAGTCAATCAAGTTCGATTATAACTGGTGCACATTTTTAATTCGCCCGTCGAAAACGGTTTGTGTTATATGTTTTTGTGCTGGCTGCGGACTTGTAAGAAGGAGTAAACAAGCCCTTGACCCGAAAGTATGTTGTTCTGGAAACTTTACTGCTAGATTTCGTTCCCGCCTTGAACCAATTGTTTTCTTATGTATTAATCAGTTATAAACGACCAACATCAGTAAAAATTGGTGTCTGCCTTCTTTGTACTTAATTGTATTAGGTCTCACAAACATTGGTCATGTATGTCATGTTTAAACAATGATACATAATAACAAATAAAACGTTTACATCCCTACCGCTCGTGAAAACGAGTTAAACTTAAGTTATATCAAAGAAACGACATTGTATAACACGTAAGAATGACCATGTAGAACATTTTTGAATGCTTCCGTGACCTAGAGTAGCAAGAACATGCGAGGTGTCGGTATATTACATTAAGGCATATGATATGACCTGTAAGCTTGGACCACAAGGTAAATTATTGTTTTTTAATACGGTATATGAATTAGAACAGGAATTACCAAAACGTTTCACAGAATCTAGTACTTAATAATTCCACAGGTAAATCAAAATGTACTTCTTCAACTCGCAAATTCCCGAATTCAACGTTATCAGCTATATACAGACGACGAGTTTAGTGTTGTACTGCTGTCCGCAAAGTGTCGTTGTTTAAATGTAGTACTTTTACATGTCTAATGGCTGCTTGTGAAGTGATACCATTTAAGTGATGTACTGAGATCTGTGAAGTGTTACCGTTGAAGTGGTGTACGGAGATCTGTGAAACGTTACCGTTTAAGTAATGTACGGAGATCTGTGAAGTGTTACAGTTTAAGTGGTGTACGGAGATCTGTGAAGCATTACCGTTTAAGTGATGTACGGAGATCTGTGAAGCGATACCGTTTAGTGGTGTTGTGAGATATGTGAAGTGATACCGTTTAAGTGGTGTAAGGGGATCTGTGAAGTGATACTGTTTAAGTGGTGTACGGAGATCTGTGAAGAGATATCGTTTAAGTGGTGTACGGAGATCTGTGAAGTGTAACTGTTTAGTGGTGTTCGGAGATCTGTGAAGTGATACCGTTTAAGTGGTGTACGGAGATCTGTGAAGTGAAACCGTTTTAGGGGTGTACGGGTACCGTTCTAATGCCATATTGCTATCTATGAAGTGACATAGTTTCAGTGTTAAGCGCAACTTGTGAGTATGAAGGCAGTCTTGAAGTGCTTTACTGTTGCATGTGAAGTGATTGGCGCGGACTAGGACTTACCACAGTTTGATTCATCCGAGTTATCACTGCAGTCTTGTTGGCCATCACACACACTTTCATTGACAATGCACTCTTCTGAGTTAGAGCACATCGTAAGACCAGGTCCACATGTATAACCTTACGAGATAAAATTATACATGATAAGCAATGCGATTCATATCTTGTAATGCAGATATTGCGCAAAAGCTGTTACGGATATTCAAAACATAAAACTTCTGTTCTTCTGAATACCTATAAAACAAAGAAAACTGAAGCGGCATGCATTTACAACCGTTATATATCTTAATGGGTTTGATATAGAAAAATAATAGGGATATGCTCTTTATAGATATATAGACACCATTCCACTATATTACCTACCTGTACAAATACACCTATGAAATGTACTGCCTGGTGCCTCTAAAACGGCAGCTATTGATCCTTTGTCATAAGATCTACAATCAAAGCCAACATCTACGTCTTCCGACAACCTTCTTGAGACTGCTGCTTCTGTTATAAAGCTGTAGGTAGGTGGGCGACAGACAGCTTCTTTACATTCTGCCATTGTTTCTGTGCTTGATGCAGAGGTTGGATGGTTGGGCCATAGTAACACATCGCCATTTTGTATATCGGCGGTCGCACATGGTGCTGGTGTTGACGCTAAGTAGATTGACACACAGATTATTTTAAAGTAAAATTTTTAACGCTGTATGCATTTTGTAAACGTCTGTAGGTATTTGGATTTGCCGAAAACTCCTCAAAAAGCTAAACAAAGTTATCTCGGCAGAACAGAAATGAGTTAAATTCATTTATCTATGCTCCACCATACAAAACATACAAAATAAAAATACATCCTTTTGTTTGATTCATATAAATTTTCAGAACTACGACAAGCAAATAACTGCTTACCACATTGGTCAGTAATAATTGGTTACCACATTGGTCAGTAATAATTGGTTACCTCATTGGTCAGTAATAATTGGTTACCTCGTTGGTCAGTAATAATTGGTTACCACATTGGTCAGTAATATTTGGTTACCACATTGGTCAGTAATAATTGGTTACCTCATTTGTCAGTAATAATTGGTTACCTCATTGGTCAGTAATAATTGGTTACCACATTGGTCAGTAATAATTGGTTATCTCATTGGTCAGTAATAATTGGTTACCTCTTTGGTCAGTAATAATTGGTCACCTCATTGGTCAGTAATAATTTGTTATCTCATTGGTCAGTAATAATTGGTTACCTCATTGGTCAGTAATAATTGGTTATCTCATTGGTCAGTAATAATTGGTTACCTCATTGGTCAGTAATAATTGGTTATCTCAATGGTCAGTAATAATTGGTTACCTCATTGGTCAGTAATAATTGGTTATCTCATTGGTCAGTAATAATTTGTTACCTCATTGGTCAGTAATAATTGATTACCACATTGGTCAGTAATAATTGGTTACCTCATTTGTCAGTAATAATTGCTTATCTCATTGGTCAGTAATAATTGGTTATCTCATTGGTCAGTAATAATTGGTTATCTCATTGGTCAGTAATAATTGGTTATCTCATTGGTCAGTAATAACTGCTTACCACATTGGTCAGTAATAATTGGTTACCACATCGGTCAGTAATAATTGGTTACCTCATTTGTCAGTAATAATTGGTTATCTCATTGGTCAGTAATAATTGTTTACCTCATTGGTCAGTGATAATTGGTTATCTCATTTGTCAGTAATAATTGGTCACCTCATTGGTCAGTAATAATTGATTACCACATTGGTCAGTAATAATTGGTTACCTCATTTGTCAGTAATAATTGGTTACCTCATTGGTCAGTTATAATTGGTTACCTCATTTGTCAGTAATAATTGGTTACCTCATTGGTCAGTAATAATTGGTCACCTCATTGGTCAGTAATAATTGATTACCACATTGGTCAGTTATAATTGGTTACCTCATTGGTCAGTAATAATTGGTTACCTCATTGGTCAGTTATAATTGGTTACCTCATTTGTCAGTAATAATTGGTTATCTCATTGGTCAGTAATAATTGGTTACCACATTGGTCAGTAATAATTGGTTATCTCAATGGTCAGTAATAATTGGTTACCTCATTGGTCAGTAATTGGTTATCCCCTTGGTCAGTAATAATTGGTTACCTCATTGGTCAGTAATAATTGGTTACCTCATTTGTCAGTAATAATTGGTTATCTCATTGGTCAGTAATAATTGGTTACCTCATTGGTCAGTAAAAATTGGTCCCCCTATTGGTCAGTAAAAAGCATTAAGTGAAAAAAACTAAAAGATAAAGAAATAGCAAAACTCTACAGCAATGCATATTTCCTATTAATAGTTCTGAGAAAAGCCAAGAAGATTATCGTTACGATGGCAATTGATCTATATATATATATAGCTTTCCCTATTACAATATTGGAAAAAATGAAGATACACTATGTAATTCCTCCCAGCAAGTATCAACAAGAGTCTCGGTGGCCTAAACGGTCACATGAGCGAACTCACAAACGTTGACTATTGGAATGAACGGGTAGCATATAGAAGAGAAAGTAAGAAATGCTATTTGTACAGGGAACATAGAGTTTGAACTAAGTTTAATTCATTGATGACGTAATGGTGACCAATAAAGTACTGTAAAATCTACCCACTCCCCAAGGGGACATGTAAGACCTTTTAGACATGTTTACAATTTTGTTCGAGCCCCTCTAGAGTATTTGAAACTACCATATTTAGGTAGTGAGAAGAAGCGTTTTAAAATTTTAGTCAATTTGCCCCTTTTTGGACAATACTACACCAATACTAACAATTCTAATTAAGTTTGATCGACTTCCTGAAAAAAATCAACAAGTTATGATCAAAAATATAATTTCCCTATATAAACTAATAATTTTTTCCCTTTATCAAATGGGAAGTATGAGATTCTGGGATTATCAAATTACCCTCTCCCCAGGGGAAACCATGATTCCCTTGGGTCATCAAATTACCCTCTCCCAAGGGGGAACAATGATTCCCATGGGTCATCAAATAACCCTCTCCCCAGGGGGAACTATGATACCCTGCGGTCATCAAATAACCCTCTCCCCAGGTGGAACTATGATACCCTGCGGTCATCAAATTACCCTCTCCCTAGGCGGAACTATGATACCTTGGGGTCATCAAATTACCCTCTCCCCAGGGGGAACTATGATACCCTGCGGTCATCAAATTACCCTCTCCCCAGGGGGAATTATGATACCCTGCGGTCATCAAATTACCCTCTCCCCAGGGGGAACTATGATACCCTGGGGTCATCAAATTACCCTCTCCCCAGGGGGAACTATGATACCCTGGGGTCATCAAATTAACAATGTTATATCCGTAAAGAGTATTATCTAACGTTATTGAGTATCAAAAGGAAGAATTTAAAAGAAATGCAGTCCATCTGATCCTTTTAGGGGCCCTGCCAATCGGCCCATGGACGTAGGCAAACTAGGGTCAATGCGTGCATATCATCAAAACGTCATCGAGTACTAACCAGGTATGAGATCTATTTCAAATAAAAGAAATAAACAAAATGCTCAAAAATGTAAATTTCCTCTTAAACAATAATAAACAAGACCTCTCTCCAGAGGGACGTATGAAACCTTGAGATCTTTGGGTATTGAACAGTAAACTTTAGGTTAAGCCCCTTCAGACCGTTCCATCAATGAAGAGTATCTGAATCTACCATCGTTGGGTATTGAGAAGATTTTTAGGATTGCAGTCAATTTACCCTGTTTTGACCCTGTTCCTTAGGCCCCCAGGTTTGGGAACCATGTAATTTACAATTTTGCTTCACTTTGTGCCATACATTTGAGTTCAAGGGTTTCCAAAAGAAGTTGAAAATGTACCCAAAAGGGGGGTCAAAATCCTCTGGAAATTTTTTGATTCCATCGCCAAGCTAAAGCATGATTGCAGATTAAAAAGATTTCTTAAACGGATACCTGTCTTATTTTGTTCACTGAACTGAGGTATCAGTATATGTTTTGCATAGTATTATCAAATAATGACATAACAATCACGAGAGATCTAAGTAGGCTTTGTGTGAACGTTGTATCATGTACGTACCCTGTTCTGAACATGTCTCTACACTTATAACGCTGTACAACTTGTCTATTTCTGTCACAACAACACTGTTGTTAATACAGTCTTCACGGAGGGGCATCACACATGTTTTGAAAGTCGCTAGTAACCTGTTAAAGGAAAAAGGACAACAATGTTGACATGTGCACTAATATTTGAAAAAAGTCAATAATGTGACAAATCATTTAATTTAAATATAGAGTTCGCTCATGAATTTCGCGTTTAGCTTATAAACAGACAGCAAAGTAAACACTTGATGTCCTAGGAATCTTACAAAGCAAACGTTCTTTTACTGAAGAAGCAACTAACGACCAATTTTATCAATCCTATATAATGTCTCTTCTGATATTAGAAATGACTTAAATTACTTCAACAAATAGGGTTTTTGTCCTTTTAAGGAAAACAATATAAAAACGTAGCATAATGTTTTATGTACAGGCACTGATATTCCTAATTTATTAGGGACTAGCAATCACTTTACATTGTGGCTCTAAAACATCGAATTCGTAATCTTAAGAAGGTGCTATTCACGTCTGCACTAGCATATTACAAGCAAACCTCCATTGTATATAAAAAGTGTTAATAAGTTAGAATGGAAATTTGCATTATAGCCATGTTTAAAATACATGTCCACTAACCCAATTTATCAAATATTGAAAATACCTCAGCTATCCAACACGTCATTACGCGCGTTAATTTCATAATAATGTACTACTTACCCACAGTCCTCAATCCCTTGTGATGGAATACTCAATGCTTGCTGTACAGAACGAATCACCAGCGGTAACGTACACCCAAGGATACCACTATAGTTACATGTATCATCTGTACGAGGAATGAAATGCATTATCCCTAGTTTATTTGGTCATGCGCACAAATGGGGTTACGAAAACCACATACTCTCCGGTATTTGTTCTACACTTTGCAGTGATTTAGAACACACTAATGTCCACTATTTGAAGCTATTTCAAAAATAGGTTATAAGTAATCTTATGTAGGTACAGAAATATTGTCAAACATTCTTAAAGTCATTTTAACACAAATAGACCTTAAAAATCGACACTAACTTGAAAATAATGACATTTTATGTGAATATGACAAATGTGATGAAGATAGACATATCCAATGTTAAATACGACAGGGAAAAGGCCTACTGTTAATAGGTTATAATACAACAGTGTTGGGAGTATTCACATAGATATTGATGTCCTATACTTTCAATAATAGATATAATATCTTTTAAACAATGCTGGCGATATTTGAGTTATTCCATTAGGTTACAGTACATCTGGATGATTTGTAAAGGTCTTCTGAAAAGGTGCACATGGTTAGCAACCTTTCGAAAGATAACTTTTTCTATTTTTGGAAAGAATCCCTTCTACAAAATTTGCATCCTTATCCAACGCTGCGTAAGATATGTTATCTGAATTGCAATCATTTTTACAAGATTATGCCTTTTGTTGGTAGTTATGTCTTGAGATCAATATTCAGGTGTTCAATAATTAATTATGGTTTCATTAAACATATTAAATAGTACTGACAATGGAGTAAATGCCCCTCTTATCGTTATTCATTGCCATGATGCAAGTGCAAATTAATGGACAATGACACAAATTTTCAATATCATGTATATTCAATAAACACTAATATAGTTATCATTGAAATCCCTTTTAAACAACTATTAAAAACACATTTGAATACTGACTTTCAAAACTACAGAGACATCGGCTTTTTGAGAGTTGTAAATTTTTATGTTTTGCAAATATTTAATTTTTCTCATCCTCTACGAAAACAATGTTTGCAATCAAATGGTATCTGATTATATTATGTATATTTATTGATAAGTACTATCCATTATGTATATTTATTGATAAGTATTATCCATTATGTATATCTATTGATAAGTACTATCCATTATGTATATCTATTGATAAGTACTATCCATTATGTATATCTATTGATAAGTACTATCCATTATGTATATTTATTGATAAGTACTATCCATTATGTATATCTATTGATAAGTACTATCCATTATGTATATCTATTGATAAGTACTATGCATTTTGTATATCTATTGATAAGTACTATCCATTATGTATATCTATTGATAAGTACTATCCATTATGTATATTTATTGATAAGTACTATCCATTATGTATATCTATTGATAAGTACTATCCATTATATATATCTATTGATAAGTACTATGCATTTTGTATATCTATTAATAAGTACTATCCATTATGTATATCTATTGATAAGTACTATGCATTTTGTATATCTATTGATAAGTATTATCCATTATGTATATTTATTGATAAGTACTATCCATTATGTATATTTATTGATAAGTATTATCCATTAAGATTCAAGACATATTTTCACCTTATTTTCAGGAAAGACCAGTTATTAAATTAGTTAATCCTTTCTTAATTTATATTCTTAATGTGCAACAATACTGATCAAGGAAGATTATGGAGAAATGGCAAAGATAAGAAAGTTCCGAAAATAAACCATACTGCATTATTTCTAGAGGAGTCGTTTGCTAATTAACATTGTATATTGAAGTATTGTTATTTCTCGAAAGGTTGATGTTTTTCGTGCTGTAGTAAGCTAGATATACACATACCTCGGGTCACGTTTCCACACAGAATATCATTGAGGGGGAAATCCTCAGATGTCAAACTTTTACAGGCGGCAGGTGCTTTACTGATACACGTCTTATATTGGTTCATTATACTAAAATAGAGATACACGCAATGCTATTGTTGACGATAACACAAACCAAGCGGTCTTCATCTCACGATATCACAATCAAAAGATTCTTTATTGTATAGTTGTTCTTGTTTCGGTTTGCCCTTGTTTGCAGGTATTAATGTTTTTCAAGTGGTATTCACGTTTACGGGCACAACATATGATTTCTATATTTTGATTCAATATAACAAATATCAATATAAATATAAATAAATCACATTTTCTTTACTGACCTCGAAAACAGGGACATTATGACTCTATAGTTATAACTAACTCTGTTTAAAAGTTTGTCTAGTAAATCAACTTCTGTCAGTATGCTGTCTTGACAAAAAAAATATACATGGTAATACTTTTTAAAGAACATCAGAATATATGTCGACAAACAATGCCAACAGATGTAATTAGAACAGAAACACATCGCTTACCGATTACCAACAGTTATACTCAAATGTGAAATCGTGATGTGAACTATAACAAAAATATCTTTATCCAGGACATAACGAATATGCATAAATGATTATCTTGATATCTATGGAAATATTTCGTCAAAAGAATTTCAATGTTAAACAGATTGATGATTATGATTGCAAATGATACTGACTTGTAGTAGGCCTGTACAAGTCAACGGATTGATAATTATGATATATGAGATACTAACCTGCAATAGACCTGTACAAGGCTTTCACCAGTCGTTCCATTCATACGGTATGCCTCCAGTGTTTGTAATGGTGATAGGCATATAGACAGTGTTGAAACATCACAGTCTCCTGTGCACATGACATATACAATCAATAATCCAGCAGAACACATTTAAAAGTAACGCAGAGTAACAATGAAAGTTTGAAAAATACCGATGTAGCGTCTACTGTATTATGTAAACAAATGTACAAAGGACACATTTCTAATTCAAAATATACATTTTTACATACTTGCTGTACTTTTCGGAAGGAAGAGCGTTTAATTTGTTTTTAATATTCAAAATACAAAGACGTAGGGGCATTGTCATAATTGTGAGGGATGTATGACATCAAAACAATGTGATCAACACAAAAAATGTACAGAATTGTTCGGCCGTTATTTTTTATTTTCTCTACATACTCATTTCCTTACGATCAAAGTAATATAGAAATGAAATGAAGGTTCTCTATTTTATTTTCGTTATATTTTAGGTGTGCTGCAAAAACTTTAGGCTTTTTGTATTACATCTATATATAGACTTCAATGCCACCGTCCACTGAGTTAAATAATATTATTTGCAAACATACGACTTCATAGTTTTATATTGTTAATACGTTATTTTTATGTGTGTTTTGATTAGACTCCATTTAAGTCTCTCCTTTCGCAGTCCTATTGGGTAACTGAAGATCCCGCTACTTTACTCTGTAATACTTTTGACTGATTAAAGCTGTTTTGATTAGACTCCATTTATGTCTCTCCTTTCGCAGTCCTATTGGGTAACTGAAGATCCCGCTACTTTACTCTGTAATACTTTTGACTGATTAAAGCGCTACATCTACAACTCGTTGAGTAGAATTACAAAAACGCACTACATAAAAGATAGATCGATGAATAAAACCCTTAAAATAGTTAAGTACAATGGAGTATTAATATGGGTTAACTTAACAAATGACAGCAGAAATTATTTACCGAATGTGCTAACAAAATTGATCCAGTATTCGATCAAGTTATATAGTGAGGTCACAATATCTTCTCTGAGAGCTTGCTAAAAGTTGACTGCCAACCGTTTGTGAGATGAGTAATTTAGCTTTACATCTGAATAATTATCAAGCTGAGCAAGAGCTAATTAGGATACTCTAGTCAGTATATAAGCGATTATGGTTGCTTTGTGTAACATACTTACCAATGGTTTGACAGACCATTTGTAGTTGTTGTGTTGCTGACTCTACCTGGGAGAACATTGGATCAGAAGAACACGACGGAGGTAGGGCATCAATACAGGCCATCACATCAGGGTACACGTTTCTGCAAAGAGTAGGATTCATGCAGTATTAACATAAAACTAATAAGAAATGTCGTGAATAATAAGGAAATACTTCACAAATGTTCTGATGCCATTGTGTAGCGAGTTTTGTTTTACATTTTACCTACTTGAAATTTCTATTGATTGTCTTGTTCACATTTATTTAAATTATTCATAATCCCGAATAAGAAAGAAAATCATCATGGCAAAAAGAAAGAATTTTGTCGATGCGGTCAGCATCATTTGGTCAGTTTAGAAATAAACCTTAAATGTTATATCTAGTTATATTTTCTTTAACGTTGTAGTATAAGTAAACAAAGCAATAGAAATGACAAGCAAAGGATGGGACAGAGGCTAGAATTCGAAATATTTGGCATTTTAATTTTTAGAAGTCGGGCCTTACGTGTCTGCAACAGCAACAGCAGTATCTGACTGAATATCATTATATTTGAGATTTTCTCCCTACATAACTGTCGATGTACTCACCTTCCGCTGGAAGTATGATATCAAATACGGGGTAGAATGTGACATATTTTTTTATACCTTGTGTTATATGTGACAAGACTCTGCATTTTGAGCTTTATATGTATGATTTCCAAAAGCTGCTACACGTACATGTGTGCTCGTTGATCCTGGACTGATTCAGCCAGATTACATTTAACAGACATAGCTAGTATTGCTAAAGAATGTCCTCTACTGGCCTCGCAGTCTATAACATTTTATGTGTGAAGGTTCAAGTAGAATTCCTCAATGAGCACAGACAATGATTTTCTAAAGATAGTAACTGTGACCTTGACCTTGATTTATTAACCCTGAAACACGAGCATGTCCAAGATATCATTTAGGAAGTCCAAGTATTTAGGTAAAAAAGGTGATAGAGTCATATTGACTACATTTTCCTGCGGCTGAAACGAAAGTCAATGTAGTTCAAAACATTTCAACCCAAACCCGAGGAATTTCACTGTAATAGTCGACTAAAACCATACGGTACTTTCACAAAAAATAGACCTTCTTATCTACAGGTTGACAAACTCTCTTAACAGTAGATATGGTTTTAACATAAAGTGAAATGTATTAATTTTGAATAATCATAAGGTTTGCTTTCCTTGCAGGAGAAGCATACATTTCAAACGATACTTTACCTGCAAATGTGATTAAAATCCGTCTGGTTTAATCCTATATTGCCCATTTCGGACAGTGGAGCTATACACTGCATGGCGGTTAGTATGTTACAAAGTGGACCGCCATTACCCTCTCCTGTGTTATCACTATTGCTCTCTTCTGTGCTACCATTATCGCCCCCTCCTGGAATCCGAATAATATCACGGTAATTCAAATTAAACATGGACAATAACAAAATGTTATATTTTGAAATGTAATTCATTACGTTTTACATCATTAATTGATAACTTAGAAATTATTAAAATGACGTTATCGATGGCATCAACCATGTAAGTATTGTAAATGTTGTTTGCAATATTACCAACAGGAACAATTACAATATCATAACAATTCCGTTGGCACCATTAGTCACTGCAACTCTATTAATTATTTTTTCCGGGAACTTCTGCGTGATTTCAGTAATTAAACTGTCCTTCACATGGGGATTATAAAAAAATGGTTTTGAAAAATATTCATCAGTTGAATCCGTAAGACATGTGCCAGTTCAAGTATGAAATTAGTATAAAATACCCATACTTACCAATTATTTGACAAACTGCTGTAAGCTGCTGCTTAGCCATTTCTATCTGAGTATACAAGGAGTCGGTTATACATGTAGGAGGTAGACTCTCTATGCAGGAAATCATGTCCGGGAAGATTGTACTATGAACAATAATAATAACCTTTTCTTAATTCCTGACAGATAATCTAACAGATATTTTTTTTCGGATAGGTTTTATGTTGTGATAAAATGTATTTTCAACACTTAGTTATGTTCGATATCATGGTGTTACCTAAAGCCGATGACACATTTAAAGCATCATCGTTATGAAATGAGATGTCGGTGTCATTGATAGAGACATTTACTCGTGGAGTTTAGATATATTTATCGCGGTAATTATTGAGTAAAAAATGCTCGACGTTTACAGATCATTACAGAAGTCAGGTATTTGATGAGTTAACAATGCAACAATTTTGTGCGTTACTGTTTAAAAGAAACACAAATCAAATATCTATCCGTAAATCAAAGAAATTCAAAACAATGTGTTGTCCGGTGACTATAGCTAACTTCAATGCCATGACTCCCTAAACATATTTTAATCACTATCATTAACTTAATACGACGCGTGTTGCATTGCACATTGCTCGATATAACATCTTACCTACAAATTCGTGCTGCGTCCTCGGGACTACCTGTCATACTACCAAGGTCGGAAACGGGTTCTATACAATTCAGCATCTCCTGAATATCGCACGATGTTTCGGTGGTATTCCCGGAGATTTCACCTGTAATATCATGATTTATTTGATAATGCTGTTTCATATCTAAGAACAATAACGATAATAATAAGCATTGGTCTCTTTGATCATGAGTACAACAAATATATACATATATAAGACATAACATTTTTTTTTTTTTTTTTTTAAGATTCTATATATAGCCGTTAAATGTACATTTCCGATAATACTTAAATCAGTCGTAAAATTGGGAATTATATTTATAGGTAGAAAACAAAAGTGCACAATACAGCTGCAAGTAAGATATCTCTCAAATCAGTCCTTTGTTTGAGTGTATATTATACGCTAACCAGACAACCAAAAGCCGATAACACTGACGACTGAAAATGAAGATTGCTTAATTTAAAAATCTGGAAACTTGATTATAAAATATTCAAAATATAATTAATAGAAATCCAAGAAAAAGTAAAATTTCTTGGTTTACTGATAATATCAAGGTCGTGGTGATGGTTGGACATACCTATAATATCAAGGTCGTGTTGTTGTTTGGACATACCTATAATATCAAGGTAGTGTTGATGGTTGGACATACCTGTAATATCAAGGTCGTGGTGATGGTTGGACATACCTGTAATATCAAGGTCGTGTTGTTGTTTGGACATACCTATAATATCAAGGTAGTGTTGATGGTTGGACATACCTGTAATATCAAGGTCGTGTTGATGGTTGGACATACCTGTAATATCAAGGTCGTGTTGTTGTTTGGACATACCTGTAATATCAAGGTCGTGTTGATGGTTGGACATACCTGTAATATCAAGGTCGTGTTGATGGTTGGACATACCTGTAATATCAAGGTCGTGTTGTTGTTTGGACATACCTGTAATATCAAGGTCGTGTTGATGGTTGGACATACCTGTAATATCAAGGTCGTGTTGATGGTTGGACATACCTATAGTATCAAGGTAGTGTTGATGGTTGGACATACCTGTAATATCAAGGTCGTGTTGATGGTTGGACATACCTGTAATATCAAGGTCGTGTTGTTGTTTGGACATACCTGTAATATCAAGGTCGTGTTGATGGTTGGACATACCTGTAATATCAAGGTCGTGTTGATGGTTGGACATACCTGTAATATCAAGGTCGTGTTGATGGTTGGACATACCTGTAATATCAAGGTCGTGTTGAAGGTTGGACATACCTGTAATATCAAGGTCGTGTTGATGGTTGGACATACCTGTAATATCAAGGTCGTGTTGATGGTTGGACATACCTGTAATATCAAGGTCGTGTTGATGGTTGGACATACCTGTAATATCAAGGTCGTGTTGATGGTTGGACATACCTGTAATATCAAGGTCGTGTTGATGGTTGGACATACCTGTAATATCAAGGTCGTGTTGATGGTTGGACATACCTGTAATATCAAGGTCGTGTTGATGGTTGGACATACCTGTAATATCAAGGTCGTGTTGATGGTTGGACATACCTGTAATATCAAGGTCGTGTTGATGGTTGGACATACCTGTAATATCAAGGTCGTGTTGATGGTTGGACATACCTGTAATATCAAGGTCGTGTCAAGGTCGTGTTGATGGTTGGACATACCTGTAATATCAAGGTCGTAATATCAAGGTCGTGTTGATGGTTGGACATACCTGTAATATCAAGGTCGTGTTGATGGTTGGACATACCTGTAATATCAAGGTCGTGTTGATGTTTGGACATACCTGTAATATCAAGGTCGTGTTGATGGTTGGACATACCTGTAATATCAAGGTCGTGTTGGTGGTGGGACAAACCTGTAATATCAATGTCGTGTTGATGGTTGGACATACCTGTAATATCAAGGTCGTGTTGTTGTTTGGACATACCTGTAATATCAAGGTCGTGTTGATGGTTGGACATACCTGTAATATCAAGGTCGTGTTGATGGTTGGACATACCTGTAATATCAATGTCGTGTTGATGGTTGGACATACCTGTAATATCAAGGTCGTGTTGTTGTTTGGACATACCTGTAATATCAAGGTCGTGTTGATGGTTGGACATACGTATAATATCAAGGTCGTGTTGATGGTTGGACATACGTATAATATCAAGGTCGTGTTGATGGTTGGACATACCTGTAATATCAAGGTCGTGTTGATGGTTGGACATACCTGTAATATCAAGGTCGTGTTGATGGTTGGACATACCTGTAATATCAAGGTCGTGTTGATGGTTGGACATACCTATAATATCAAGGTCGTGTTGATGGTTGGACATACCTGTAATATCAAGGTAGTGTTGATGGTTGGACATACCTGTAATATCAAGGTCGTGTTGATGGTTTGACATACCTGAAACCTAAACGCTTAGTACATTTTTGGACATACCTGCAACGTGTAGATTGTGTGAAGCTATTCTTTCTACCTCTGTTTTGCAAACATATTGCCCCGAGGTCTGCACAGTAGCGTTATCCAGATGCAAAATATTGAGACGATCGTTAATCCTATTGACTGAAAACTCGTCAGAACTAATTATCATTGTGTTCACGGCAATGATGTTCATTTCTGAGCTGTTCATCTGCCTGTGTAGCCATGTCACCTGAAACATACAAAAAAGACATCAAGCTCAAAAGAACATGTCATAACATACTGCCTCCTAGCACGATGATGTGATATGTCAATGAACACTACACGCCTGGAAATCCCAGTGACGTATACTACATGAGAAAGATTAAGAGAATTGAAACTCTGTAAATCATTTCCTCGATCCATTATCTTTTACGTGAACCCTACATGAAACAAATTTTCGCTCGCCATGGCTAATATGATTTTGGTAAACGGATATATATCGCGTTCAAGAAAGTGAAAACTATATCTCTTTCAACGTACCACCATAGTCCCAAAGGAATGGTTGGATGCGCATGTGAAGTCAACAGAGGATCCCACTGGTACCGTCATGTTCTGAAAGTTATCTAAACATGGAAAAGCGTTAGTGTCTACAATAACCCGTCATAGTCGGCATCGCTTTAAGTGTGAAATCATATCCTGTATGAACCTTATTGATAAATATGTTGTCACCTTTACGTGATATATTAAAGGAGTGGTATGATGCACATGAAGGGGAGAAATGCATGTGTAATGCATGTTCTTGTATGATGACTACGTATTAGGTTAGAAAACTTGCATTGGCACGTCATCCGTCTTGAAGACACTTCTACTTCAATAGTTTTGAAAGCATTTCCCTACTGAATATCTGTATATTCATATATGTACCTGTACACTTAATTTTGCATAAAAATAGCAATCAAACCGGAGAGAAACATGTTATTGCAAACTTGGAAATTATGATGATTATGCAAATTTAAGAAATTTCCTGTTGTGATGTAAGCGAAAATCACGGTAAAGGAAAGCCAGAGGAAACCTGAGGAACAGCTACTCCCTTCCACATTTTGCATGATTGACATTGGCTTATCTTTCGTGTCTGTATGCATGTTAATATGCTGTATGTTACACTTAAGCAATTCTCGGGATTTCTTTTCATGAAAACCACTTATCCATTAGCATTATTGTGGTTAACAATGATAATAATAATAGTAAAAACACGGATACATGCGTGATTGCATCAATACAAAATCGGAGAAAGCTAGTTGTATAAACATTCATGGCATTACTTACTGCATGGTTCTTCATCCGAGCCATCAATGCAGTCGTTCTGTCCATTGCAAAGCATTGCTATAGGCACACATTGGTTATTAGATAAACATTGATAGTCTCTCTCTGGGTCGCAATCTACAAATCACCATCACTGACATATGAATGTATGAAATATCCTCTCCTTCGATGTGTTTAACTGTTATGCATTTGTTTTTCAATTTCACTTAGTTTTGAATTTATTTATTTAACATTATCCGCGTCTGCTCCTTACATTGTTTTTCTTTTTTTCTTTTTTTTTTTTTTTTTTTTTTTTACATTTATGAATATTTTCGTTAACTTGAAAAAATACATAACCGGATTATTAAAAGGTTTAACAGGAATATGTTTTATCTATGTATATTCGTTTCAGATTGTGATAAATTGTAACAACTAAATTAAAATATCTGATATCATGAAATTTCACTGAAAATGACAATTGAATATTTTGGAGTAACATATCTACAAAGCTTTTTTATCACTCCAACAAGCGTATCACAATATACATATCTGTTTAATACCATGTAGTGGAGATTCTGTCGTTGGCGGCACCGTTGGTGCTGTCGTTGGAGGTAAACATACTACGCCAGCATCCTCTCCATGGCCACAATTTTCAATTCCCCATCCATTAGATCTACAATCCATCAGTCTTGCCTCGTCTCCTTGACAGGAAACATCATCCAGCCATGTTGGTTCTAATCCTTCACCAAAGGCTGCTTCTCGTCTAAAACTGCCTCCCCTTGTAAACAAATCAGGCCAAAAGGAATGAACACCATTCAGTATCATTACTTCACAATCAGGAACGTCTTTTTCAAAGCGGACAACAGATTAAAAACATATGGTTTCAGATGGCGCTATAGCAAAAGAATTGCAAAGACAATCAAAATACTGACTTGATAAAACAATTAACGTAGTCAAGACCATTAAAGCGTCATTCTCGTATTGAATTAAACCAAACAGCCTTTTCGTGCTTGTAAACATTATTGATTACTGACTAAGAAATTGTAGACTCATTCCACAGGTAACTTAATTTATCAACTGTTTGATAGAAATAATATTCAGGAAACAACACTATTATGCTATTTTGCCGCCATCGTACCGATATCATCTATAAAAAGGTCAGGGACATTAGTTACATCTCTAATTTATGTGGCATCATCAGTGCCAGAATTAAGTAGTGATACTGTAAATCACTTCGATTTTGCGAAAACTTTATTTCACCAACGGTGATCTAGCAATGATTTGATTTCGCGAATATTGATCTAGAAATATCTTTGAATTCGCGAATGCTGAGCAATTAAAGACACAGACTTTGGAAAACTCCCGTATCGTCAACCGAGAGCTTCATATTGGCCGCCATTTTACTTGAAAGGCGATTTAGTCATATGATACATGTTGTGTCCATACTGAAATATATTTAAACAAACTTTTAGACACAAGAAACCAACACGAACACTCCGCTTGCTTTTATGTTTGGAGAATGTAGTGAGCTATTTTTAGGGTTAAAACGCCAGGACTTCAAAAGGCAAAACGTATAGTACATTGTTTAGCGTTACACTTCTTAACGTGTTTATGCTAATGATACCGTTGTTGTTTTCTTACCTTTAACTTTATAATTCCATGCAAAAGATCTTTTGCATTTTAATCTCTGACTACATAGACTATATACAGAGTTTATGTGGAGTAGTTACAGACTATATACAGAGTTTATGTGGAGTAGTTACAGACTATATACAGAGTTTATGTTGAGTAGTTACAGACTATATACAGAGTTTATGTTGAGTAGTTACAGACTATATACACAGCTTATGTAGAGTAGTTACAGACTATATACAGAGTTTATGTAGAGTAGTTACAGTTTATATACAGAGTTTATGTAGAGTAGTTACAGACTATATACAGAGTTTATGTTGAGTAGTTACAGACTATATACAGAGTTTATGTTGAGTAGTTACAGACTATATACACAGCTTATGTAGAGTAGTTACAGACTATATACAGAGTTTCTGTAGAGTAGTTACAGACTATATACACAGCTTATGTAGAGTAGTTACAGACTATATACAAAGTTTCTGTTGAGTAGTTACAGACTATATACAAAGTTTCTGTAGAGTAGTTACAGACTATATACAGAGTTTCTGTGGAGTAGTTACAGACTATATACAGAGTTTATGTTGAGTAGTTACAGACTATATACAAAGTTTATGTAGAGTAGTTACAGACTATATATATATACAGACTATATACAAAGTTTATGTAGAGTAGTTACAGACTATATACAGAGTTTCTGTGGAGTAGTTACAGACTATATATAGAGTTTCTGTTGAGTAGTTACAGACTATATACACAGCTTATGTAGAGTAGTTACAGACTATATACACAGCTTATGTAGAGTAGTTACAGACTATATACAGAGTTTATGTTGAGTAGTTACAGACTATATACAGAGTTTCTGTTGAGTAGTTACAGACTATATACACAGCTTATGTAGAGTAGTTACAGACTATATACACAGCTTATGTAGAGTAGTTACAGACTATATACAGAGTTTATGTTGAGTAGTTACAGACTATATACAGAGTTTCTGTTGAGTAGTTACAGACTATATACAGTTACAGACTATATACACAGCTTATGTAGAGTAGTTACAGACTATATACAGAGTTTCTGTTGAGTAGTTACAGACTATATACAGAGTTTATGTGGAGTAGTTACAGACTATATACAGAGTTTGAGTGGAGTAGTTACAGACTATATACAGAGTTTATGTTGAGTAGTTACAGACTATATACAGAGTTTATGTGGAGTAGTTACAGAGTATATACAAAGTTTATGTGGAGTAGTTACAGTTTATATACAGAGTTTATGTGGAGTAGTTACAGAGTATATACAGAGTTTATGTGGAGTAGTTACAGACTATATACAGAGTTTGAGTGGAGTAGTTACAGACTATATACAGAGTTTATGTGGAGTAGTTACAGACTATATACAGAGTTTATGTTGAGTAGTTACAGACTATATACAGAGTTTATGTGGAGTAGTTACAGACTATATACAAAGTTTATGTGGAGTAGTTACAGTTTATATACAGAGTTTATGTGGAGTAGTTACAGAGTATATACAGAGTTTATGTGGAGTAGTTACAGTTTATATACAGAGTTTATGTGGAGTAGTTACAGACTATATACAGAGTTTATGTGGAGTAGTTACAGACTATATACAGAGTTTCTGTGGAGTAATGCACTTAAAGGTGTAATATACACCATATTCGCACTTTGAAATGTGACATTACTTGGATTGACAAAGATTTACATGACAGACTTTAGTCGATGGACTAGAAGACGTTTTCCCTTCAGGAGGACTTTGTCATATTCTCTCTGTACGTTTTTCGGAAGTGTTTCCGTGTAAACATTGGAGTTTGAGTTTGTTGACATGTTGGTATTTTCGTTGTTGTTGTTATTAACCTAACCATTGAATTGTGTTCTAAAACCTCGACGAGCGAAACTAAAAATAGTTCTGTTCAAAAACTGGACGATATCAACTGGAAATTACCCATATCCTAACTGCCTACACACTACTCGAGCGTCGTCATTTCCCCAACTGTCGTCACAAACAGTTCCCCATCTTCCGTCATAGTAAATTTCCACGCGTCCCTCGTACTCTGATCCACCGTTCACCAGTCGGAGAGATCCTGTGGGAAGAAAGGTTTAGTAAGAGACGTTATTTCCTCGGATTGTTTGCAAAACAACAAACCCATGGAATTTCCTTGAAAAGTACTTTAACAAGAGACCATTAGCATTAATGATCGCGACAATATATGGACGTACCTAGTTTGAAATAGCATGTATCAGAACATCTGGTCTTATTCTCCTACAATTTTTATTCGTACTGCCATTTCATCAATTTTCGGTTTGAATTTCGATGTCGCTTTTCTTGCTGTTGCTTCAAGGCATCCGACTCAAAGTTTCCACATTTCACTACCATTATTATTTTGTAAAATATATATATAACGATTACTGAAGAATTCTTACTAAACAGGACTATTCACTTTATATAGCCGGGAGTTGCACAATTACATGATTAGCGGATCAGTGAAATACAATTATTCATTATTGTTCATTTAAAGAGATGAATTCTTAATTAATATACTATTCCTGTAGTAATCTAGGTATAGATGGACATGCTTGTATGGATATTCAAAGTGGAAGGGACATAAATACCTTGGAGCGTAGATAACGTGCTAGTTGACGGAAGCATTGTAGTGGTACCTGGCGCCAAACATACAACACCGGCATCCTCGCCATGACCACAGTTTTCTGTTCCCCACCCAGGAAATCTACAGTCCATCAATCTCGATTCTGATCCTGTGCATTCAACATCGTCCATCCATGTTGGTTCGGACCCTTCACCAAATGATGCCTCTCGTGTAAAGGTGCCCCCGCTGTTAAACAACGTGGATCGGTATACAAAACGTACACTTTCCTGATATATTTTATCAAGATATAGTACTTTTTCAGAAGTCTACGTTTAAATATTTTTGTTCATATTTTGGCACCAGTTTGATAGAATTTGAATTTGGATTAGGATCATGTTGACATGTTGGCATTTTCGTGTTTTATAACTACAATGAGGCTAAAACAAACTTGTACACCAACTATTGTTGATAATAAACTTTCATTGGGAAAATCGATGATTGCCGTCTACATTTTTCATTGATATCTGTTTCACAAGATTAAAAAATAAAAGGGAAAACAAGGACGAAATAGAGATTATTACATGAAATTTGAAAAGGAAACAGCTTACTCATTACCATGATAAGAATAAGACAGTTCTGTATGAAATATGGACGAAAAAAAGTAGGAAATTACCTGTATCCTAACTGCCTACACACTACTCGAGCGTCATCATTTCCCCAATTGTCGTCACAAACAGTTCCCCATCTTCCGTCATGGTAAATTTCCACGCGTCCCTCGTACTCTGATCCACCGTTCACCAGTCGGAGAGATCCTACAATTAGAATAGGATTGATCAATAGCAGCATTTCTCATTCACGACAATTTCATAAAGTATACCTGTTACAGGGCTATTCCATGTTTGTGATTTCATTCGAGCTCGTCATCTTTCATCGTATGATGTGAAGTTCGAAGTGATCGTTGGAGTATGGTGCGGTTCTCTTATTATTAAAATGGTTCTGGTAAAAAAAAGAAACTTTGTTTTTAAAGAATACATCTCGCAACATTTTGTTCGAGTTGGTCACTTAAAAAAGATGTCCTTGAGTATCACAACCAGTTAGCAAAGTTATGTGTGATGAGTACGTCGTCCCCTTTACCAGACAATTGACAGTATGCCTTGTATGTGTTATGATATATAACGTGTACAAGATAGAAATGAAATCACAGGACTTTTCGACCGTAGAATTATCTTTCATGTGGTAACGTGGAAAGCACTTGACGAGGTTGCTGTTTGATCATAGGGAAACAGGTAGAATAGGTAATATTCCATATTTACCTTAAAAATGGTACATAAAGCTCAATGGTTTTAACACTAAAACATTATTGTGAGAGGAATGTTAATCAACCGTGAAACAATCAATATCTGGTTTACCGTGTTGATGACTTTGTCGTCTTACAATGATGGGGAAAAATTGCAACGAAAAATACATTGTCGTGGAGTCAACTAGATATATGTCGATATATAGATTTATAAAACCTCCACGTGTACACCATTTATAGAATATATGATTACCCTGGGATGTTGACGGCGTGCTAGTTGACGGAAGCATTGTAGTGGCACCTGGCGCCAAACATACAACACCGGCATCCTCGCCATGACCACAGTTTTCTGTTCCCCACCCAGGAAATCTACAGTCCATCAATCTCGATTCTGATCCTGTGCATTCAACATCGTCCATCCATGTTGGTTCGGACCCTTCACCAAATGATGCCTCTCGTGTAAAGGTGCCCCCGCTGTTAAACAACGTGGATCGGTATACAAAACGTACACTTTCCTGATATATTTTATCAAGATATAGTACTTTTTCAGAAGTCTACGTTTAAGTATTTTTGTTCATATTTTGGCACCAGCTTGATAGAATTTGAATTTGGATTAGGATCATGTTGACATGTTGGCATTTTCGTGTTTTATAACTACAATGAGGCTAAAACAAACTTGTACACCAACTATTGTTGATAATAAACTTTCATTGGGAAAATCGATGATTGCCGTCTACATTTTTCATTGATATCTGTTTCACAAGATTAAAAAATAAAAGGGAAAACAAGGACGAAATAGAGATTATTACATGAAATTTGAAAAGGAAACAGCTTACTCATTACCATGATAAGAATAAGACAGTTCTGTATGAAATATGGACGAAAAAAAGTAGGAAATTACCTGTATCCTAACTGCCTACACACTACTCGAGCGTCATCATTTCCCCAATTGTCGTCACAAACAGTTCCCCATCTTCCGTCATGGTAAATTTCCACGCGTCCCTCGTACTCTGATCCACCGTTCACCAGTCGGAGAGATCCTACAATTAGAATAGGATTGATCAATAGCAGCATTTCTCATTCACGACAATTTCATAAAGTATACCTGTTACAGGGCTATTCCATGTTCGTGATTTCATTCGAGCTCGTCATCTTTCATCGTATGATGTGAAGTTCGAAGTGATCGTTGGAGTATGGTGCGGTTCTCTTATTATTAAAATGGTTCTGGTAAAAAAAAGAAACTTTGTTTTTAAAGAATACATCTCGCAACATTTTGTTCGAGTTGGTAACTTAAAAAAGATGTCCTTGAGTATCACAACCAGTTAGCAAAGTTATGTGTGATGAGTACGTCGTCCCCTTTACCAGACAATTGACAGTATGCCTTGTATGTGTTATGATATATAACGTGTACAAGATAGAAATGAAATCACAGGACTTTTCGACCGTAGAATTATCTTTCATGTGGTAACGTGGAAAGCACTTGACGAGGTTGCTGTTTGATCATAGGGAAACAGGTAGAATAGGTAATATTCCATGTTTACCTTAAAAATGGTACATAAAGCTCAATGGTTTTAACACTAAAACATTATTGTGAGAGGAATGTTAATCAACCGTGAAACAATCAATATCTGGTTTACCGTGTTGATGACTTTGTCGTCTTACAATGATGGGGAAAAATTGCAACGAAAAATACATTGTCGTGGAGTCAACTAGATATATGTCGATATATAGATTTATAAAACCTCCACGTGTACACCATTTATAGAATATATGATTACCCTGGGATGTTGACGGCGTGCTAGTTGACGGAAGCATTGTAGTGGCACCTGGCGCCAAACATACAACACCGGCATCCTCGCCATGACCACAGTTTTCTGTTCCCCACCCAGGAAATCTACAGTCCATCAATCTCGATTCTGATCCTGTGCATTCAACATCGTCCATCCATGTTGGTTCGGACCCTTCACCAAATGATGCCTCTCGTGTAAAGGTGCCCCCGCTGTTAAACAACGTGGATCGGTATACAAAACGTACACTTTCCTGATATATTTTATCAAGATATAGTACTTTTTCAGAAGTCTACGTTTAAATATTTTTGTTCATATTTTGGCACCAGTTTGATAGAATTTGAATTTGAATTAGGATCATGTTGACATGTTGGCATTTTCGTGTTTTATAACTACAATGATGCTAAAACAGACTAGTACACCAACTATTGTTGATAATAAACTTTCATTGGGAAAATCGATGATTGCCGTCTACATTTTTCATTGATATCTGTTTCACAAGATTAAAAAATAAAAGGGAAAACAAGGACGAAATAGAGATTATTACATGAAATTAGAAAAGGAAACAGCTTACTCATTACCATGATAAGAATAAGACAGTTCTGTATGAAATATGGACGAAAAAAAGTAGGAAATTACCTGTATCCTAACTGCCTACACACTACTCGAGCGTCATCATTTCCCCAATTGTCGTCACAAACAGTTCCCCATCTTCCGTCATGGTAAATTTCCACGCGTCCCTCGTACTCTGATCCACCGTTCACCAGTCGGAGAGATCCTACAATTAGAATAGGATTGATCAATAGCAGCATTTCTCATTCACGACAATTTCATAAAGTATACCTGTTACAGGGCTATTCCATGTTCGTGATTTCATTCGAGCACGTCATCTTTCATCGTATGATGTGAAGTTCGAAGTGATCGTTGGAGTATGGTGCAGTTCTCTTATTATTAAAATGGTTCTGGTAAAAAAAAAGAAACTTTGTTTTTAAAGAATACATCTCGCAACATTTTGTTCGAGTTGGTAACTTAAAAAAGATGTCCTTGAGTATCACAACCAGTTAGCAAAGTTATGTGTGATGAGTACGTCGTCCCCTTTACCAGACAATTGACAGTATGACTTGTATGTGTTATGATATATAACGTGTACAAGATAGAAATGAAATCACAGGACTTTTCGACCGTAGAATTATCTTTCATGTGGTAACGTGGAAAGCACTTGACGAGGTTGCTGTTTGATCATAGGGAAACAGGTAGAATAGGTAATATTCCATATTTACCTTAAAAATGGTACATAAAGCTCAATGGTTTTAACACTAAAACATTATTGTGAGAGGAATGTTAATCAACCGTGAAACAATCAATATCTGGTTTACCGTGTTGATGACTTTGTCGTCTTACAATGATGGGGAAAAATTGCAACGAAAAATACATTGTCGTGGAGTCAACTAGATATATGTCGATATATAGATTTATAAAACCTCCACGTGTACACCATTTATAGAATATATGATTACCCTGGGATGTTGACGGCGTGCTAGTTGACGGAAGCATTGTAGTGGCACCTGGCGCCAAACATACAACACCGGCATCCTCGCCATGACCACAGTTTTCTGTTCCCCACCCAGGAAATCTACAGTCCATCAATCTCGATTCTGATCCTGTGCATTCAACATCGTCCATCCATGTTGGTTCGGACCCTTCACCAAATGATGCCTCTCGTGTAAAGGTGCCCCCGCTGTTAAACAACGTGGATCGGTATACAAAACGTACACTTTCCTGATATATTTTATCAAGATATAGTACTTTTTCAGAAGTCTACGTTTAAATATTTTTGTTCATATTTTGGCACCAGCTTGATAGAATTTGAATTTGGATTAGGATCATGTTGACATGTTGGCATTTTCGTGTTTTATAACTACAATGAGGCTAAAACAAACTTGTACACCAACTATTGTTGATAATAAACTTTCATTGGGAAAATCGATGATTGCCGTCTACATTTTTCATTGATATCTGTTTCACAAGATTAAAAAATAAAAGGGAAAACAAGGACGAAATAGAGATTATTACATGAAATTTGAAAAGGAAACAGCTTACTCATTACCATGATAAGAATAAGACAGTTCTGTATGAAATATGGACGAAAAAAAGTAGGAAATTACCTGTATCCTAACTGCCTACACACTACTCGAGCGTCATCATTTCCCCAATTGTCGTCACAAACAGTTCCCCATCTTCCGTCATGGTAAATTTCCACGCGTCCCTCGTACTCTGATCCACCGTTCACCAGTCGGAGAGATCCTACAATTAGAATAGGATTGATCAATAGCAGCATTTCTCATTCACGACAATTTCATAAAGTATACCTGTTACAGGGCTATTCCATGTTCGTGATTTCATTCGAGCACGTCATCTTTCATCGTATGATGTGAAGTTCGAAGTGATCGTTGGAGTATGGTGCATTAAAATGGTTCTCGTAAAAAAAAAAGAAACTTTGTTTTTAAAAAATACATCTCGCAACATTTTGTTCGAGTTGGTAACTTAAAAAAGATGTCCTTGAGTATCACAAACAGTTAGTAAAGTATGATGAGTACGTCGTCCCCTTTACCAGACAATTGAGAGTATGACTTATATGTGTTATGAGATATAAAGTGTTCAAGATAGTAATGAAATCACAAGACTTTTCGACTGTGGAATAATCTTTCATGTGGTAACGTGGAAAGTACTTTACGAGGTTGTTGTTTGATTATAGGGAAACAGGTAAAATAGGTAATATTCCAAATATACTTTGGAAATGTTATATAAGCACACTTTTTTTCTGTAAAACGTTCAGAGAGTGTTTAATCTGCGACATGATACCAGTCGAATGAACATAATCTGTGTTCGCTCCATATTTCAGACATACAGTTCGGAATTGAGTTTTGGGTCTGATAGGGTGATCTGCGTTACATTGCTTGCTTGTTTTCATGGAAACAAAAGTTTACCATGGAATCGAAGACCATGTTATTAGTTACCAACCCTTTCAGGTTTCTGGTATTTTGAGTTTTGTACCGGCCTTTACGGTTTGATAATTTTGTAAGAGGATTTCTCTGAGAAATATGTTATAAATGATTTTGTACCTTCGAGTGGTCCAGTGGAAACTGTCGGTAAAGGTGTTGTAATAGTGGGGGTGGTGACTTCGGGGGTAGTACTCCCTCGTTGTTCACATTTAACTCCAACATCCTCACCATGACCACAGTTTTCATTCTGCCATCCTCCAAAACCACAGTCTACAAGTCTATTTTCGTCCCCTCGACAATTAACGCTGTCCATCCATGTTGGTTCTGTACCTTCACCGTAAAATGCTTCCATTGCGTAACTTACTGGGCTGTTACCAATACAAGACTGTATTAGAATCGTTATATAGGATTTGATAGAGTATCTCAGTACATTCAAATTACGAGCACGACACGAAATACGGAAATTTAGAGGATCATGTTGAAAATACTAGAAGAGTAAACGGATGTAAAAATATATTTGAAAGGAGGCTGAAAAGGAAGATACCTATAGTATTGAAGCAACGTAACAACGGATTTAATCTATGATGAGCAAGAGAAAGCATGATTTTACAAATACATTGATTCACTCATATTTTTGGAGGGAAAGGTTTGTTGATAGATGTCAAATGGAGGTTTCAAAGCATTTTCAAAGTTTAATCAAAGAATGGTTACCACACATAACATATTTTAAAGACGATTTACTAGTGTCCTTTATACATAAATGATTCTTAAAGTTATCCCTTACAATCAAAGCAAACATTGCTGAAAAATCTGTAGCGAAAAAAAGGCAAAGATGGTGAGATGCTTATAAAAAATACTCTGCTGGTTTGTTTGTGTTTTTTAATTACTTATATCCTAGCTGGCCACAGACAACACGTGTATTGTTCATTGTCCACTCGTCATCACAAACTGTTCCCCACTGACCAGCGTGGTATACCTCCACTCGTCCTTCCCAGTCTGATGGACCATTAACTAGACGTATATCTCCATCTGTTTAAATGTCAATTTGAACATAACAATGAATTGAAAAAAGTGAAGTAAAGCAAACGATACTATTGAACTACTGCTACTCTATAATACGACGAACGCACAAAATACACACAGTAGGGCCATACAGCATACTGCATTATACAGCTGTTTCGTCCTTCTAAGTCTCATCAGTAAATGGGGGATTCATGCAAATACAAAATGATTGAAGAAACTGTCAAATTTTAGATGGGGATAGCCACTTGCCCCATAATATAAGAAGTTTCGTAATTCTGATATATTTGATCATTTATAATGAATGATTTATATTGATGTCTTCCGTTTTGACATAAACAACACAGAATTGGATTATCTTACTATTATCATGACTCATCTTTGCCATAGCAAGACGACCGAATCCTAAATTTCTAAACATTTCTTTGATACATCAGTAAAAAGCAACCTTTCATTTTCGGTGAAAATTAAAATCCCTTTAATTATGCCATCTGTGATGAAAACCACTTGTTGGAAATATTATATGTCAAAAATAGGTCGGATGTCTTTGGAGAGAGATGAGAAATCATATACAAAAATAACGCTTGTCAGTAACCTTGTGTATCAAAAACCGAATAACACATTTAGGAGTATCTCTCTTAAAGACAATACTCGTTTCGGACCTCCTACCAAAACGGAACTCTTGTCGAAAACTATATATGAAATAATTCTTGTAGAAGATCCCCTTTTAAAAGCAACAATTGGCGGAAACGCCCTATTTATGGAGTCGCCTTTTTAGGAGCTTCCTTTGGTGGAATCACTCTGCTATTCATAGTCCCCTGTTAGGAGCAACATTTTCAGTTGAAAACAAAAATTGTCGGGGGTTCCCAGTTTAACGCTGTGCTTTTCGGTAACTGTGTAAGACATTCGAACTCTATTAAAAGCAATACTCATGGAAACGTTCTGTGTTGCAAAACAGATGTCAGATATCCTATTTGTTGTTTGATGCCTATTTGTAAACAATATCAAACAGAGGCTTTGAAATTTTACATTACCCTGAAGTCCTGGTGACGTGGTAGATGACGGAATCGCGGTGGTAATTAAAGGAGCCAAACATACAACACCGGCATCCTCGCCATGACCACAGTTTTCTGTTCCCCACCCTGGAAAACTACAATCCATCAATCTCGATTCTAAACCAGTGCATTCAACATCGTCCATCCATGTCGGTTCGGATCCTCGACCAAATGATGCCTCTCGTGTGTATGTACCGCCCCTATCAAAAACACAAACTCTTTCAGTTTTTGGTCGATATTGTAACGCATGAGCATGTGCCCAAATTGAGTATAATTTTCCATACATCCTCTGTTCTATCGCCGTGGACAACTTCAATAAATTCATATCGTCTTTAGTGAAAAAAGTGTGTTATGAATCAGATTTCTTGTTTTAATTGATATGATATCATCCAAATATCACATAATTAAAACTGAATTTACATAAAATATCATTAGTTATTGTTTCAATCCCACTTTGTATCGAATGTAAGACTAAAACATACGACAGGATGTCAATTTCTTCACCATACATTTCCAATCGTGTTATGTACTACCTCCGATCTCAAGAGGAGTTTACTTACCCTCGGGGGTTTACACACCGTCGTGTAAGTAACAAGTATCTCTGTGGCGTTTTCTCACTGTTTCTCAAGCCATATTTACAAAAAGGTTTTGTATATGTACATTTATTGAATTTAGTTACATATATACATGTTTATGTATGCGTCGTATTAGAAAAGCAGCCAATTTCAATTCGTATTTAGTGATTGTTGTTTTCTATTTATGTTGTTTTACTGTATAAAGAGGAGGGTGTGTCTTTTATTTTGTTTTCTTCTTTCCTTCGTAAAATTTGAAAACTTTGCAGAAATATTTATAATTCTCTTTGATCGTCAAATTCAAGATGGCGCTTATCAGCCTTTTTGTTTCTCCGATTAACTTTAAATCAATAAGGCTCAACTAGGTACCAAAGGTGACATAAAAATCAGTCTCAATAATCAAAAGGCATACTTATGCACTAAGATGACCCGACATGACATTTGAGAATGTGGAAACATTTTTTGAGAGTCCTCAACAATAATCTTTCATTGTCAAAATCCAAAATGTGAAACAACAATTTCAACGTTTGTAACAAGTCCCGAAAATAATAGGACATAACTACAGAACAAAGGAAACCTACCTTTTGTTAAGCTGGTTAATCTTGACATAAAAAGGGCAGAACTTCGAACCTATAGAAACCTTTATTTGAAGTTTGAAAAAGATCCATCAGATGACTCACAAGAAATAACGAAAACATACTTCCATTGTCAAAATCTGAAATAAGCTGTCCCAAGATCAAAGGAGCACACAAAAGGACCAAGTGCAGTAAAACATGTACAATTTAATATAAATCTAGACAGCACTTCTCGAAACGAAGGGCCAAGGACTGTGACAAGGATTGTGATGATGAATACAATCACATGTAAGCTATAACTATGGATCCTCACCTGTATTCGAGCTGTCTACAAACAACGTTCGCATCTGCGTTGTCCCAACTGTCGTCACAGACTGTTCCCCAAACATTGTTATGGTAAATTTCAACACGACCTTCGTACTGTGTTCCGCCATTTACTAATCGAATTGATCCTATTAAAACAATTTACATATAATTTGTTATCTCGAAATCTACATAGCATGTATTTTGCTAATTGTCGATGGAACAAATATAACATAGAATAATTGAACCGTTGCAACAGGTCATTATCCTGGTGTTCCTTGTTCATCAAGAGTTAACTAAACCGTCATCAACTAATACCCCGGCAGATGCAAAGACCTTACAGTTACCATGGCAGCCAAAATCTTGGAAAGAAAATGTTATATACACATCTACATATGGTCCTTTACATTGATATGAAGTTTCATTGGAATGAGGCCAGCGGTTTAGGAGAACCTTCGTACTGTGTATCACAAAGTTGTAACTATCCTATAGGAAACAAGGATGAACTCCAGTTATCTTGTATGACAGATGTGTGTAACAATATCGTTAAAACGTTCTAATCAAATAATAGTTACGTAGTTGATATAAATCAGTTCTATTATGAAACAATTGTTATCAGCAGTTTGCACATAACGGTCAGTGTCTTAAAATAATAACTATATCTTAACGACGACAAAGAAAGTGGAGAGCCTTCGGTAAGTCATTTTTGTCTTTCTTTACCCAGCTAAAATGCAGCTTATATTTTAAGACACTGACCATGTACTCTATTTATTCTGCAACACTTACTGAAAATTCAGACTATCATTTATGTTTTGTTCTGCCTGTCCAATCATTGTTTATCTTATGTTGACTTTACGCTTCATTGAGTCTGATGACACACGTCAAAGTAATTGTTCCACGTGCAAATAAAGTTCCACACTCCAATGGATATAAAAAAACTACTTCATGAATTTTCACAAATAAAATTGTTTGTTTCAGTAAATGAAATGACTTATTGAAATAGTTACTTTTGTCTATAAACGTAATATTTAAGTATATACAATGATTAATTTTGTCGAATTAAAACACTAGCTAAAATACAGCTGTTTTGCAGTCACTGCCGAATACAACAAAATATTTGCGGCAAATGGCAAAAAGGCCAGGCAAGTTGCAGGTTAAATGTGTGTAGCCGACTGAATCGACAGTTAAATAACCAGACATAGCTTAACTTCTTACTTAATCACAGATGTTCATTAATGTTTAATATCATATAATCGAATATAGGTTTACCTTCGGGTGTTCCAGTGGAATCAGTCGGTAGAGGTGTTGTAACAGTGGGGGTGGTGACTTCGGGGGTAGTACTCACTCGGTGTTCACATTTAACTCCAACATCCTCACCATGACCACAGTTTTCATTCTGCCATCCTCCAAAACCACAGTCTACAAGTCTATTTTCGTCCCCTCGACAATTAACGCTGTCCATCCATGTTGGTTCTGTACCTTCACCGTAAAATGCTTCCATTGCGTAACTTACTGGGCTGTTACCAATACAAGATTGTATTAGCACTCCTGAACTCAAAATAAGTTCAGCAAAAGAAGGAAATTTGAGAGAAAAAAAAGACTCAAAAGAGAAATACCTGTAGGTACTGACACCATATAACAATGGGATGAATATATATTAAGCAAGAGAAAATTACAAACATGTTGATTCATACCGTCAAATAATAATAATGATACAAACAACAGAATTGGAATTTAGCTGCTTAAAAAGATTGTGTTCGTTTATATTCTTGACTTACTTATATCCTAGCTGGCCACAGACAACACGTGTATTGTTCATTGTCCACCCGTCATCACAAACTGTTCCCCATTGACCAGCGTGGTATACCTCCACTCGTCCTTCCCAGTCCGACGGACCGTCCATTAGACGTATATCTCCATCTGTAAATCACCAACTTCAATATGGATACATTTTTATATTTGATTGTAATCTATAACATTGACTTCGAAATTCAATCGTACACTGATAATTCACAGATATTCTGATTATATATTTACACATTATCATTATTAAGTTCGTGCGATATTTCGAAAATATGAAATGTGAACTTGTACCTAAGTAAAGTGCAGCTAACTTTCTTGATCTGAAACAAATCAATGGCGTTTATGATCGTGTATCTTTCCCCTGCCCTAGGTTAAAAGCTGGGTAACGGTATTTTATATTCTTATATACTGAACCAAATACGCAGGGCAGCTCTACTTTATGTAGTGATTAATTAATTATTCCCTTTATCAATGATTATGAGTCAAGTCCGAGTACAGTAATTGATCAATTGGGATATCACTGCCGTCATGGTTAATTTAAAAACTTTGTGCTCATTTTTTTTTTTTTTTTTTATTCGAAGCGGCAGAAGGAAGGGCGTTGGCGTTGTGTATCAAGTGCCGTTGTTTTAGCATGATATGTAGCATTTATGACCATCGTATGCGATGAAAAATACTTTTCGGACATTCCTATTAAAAATAATTTTTCGGAAACTTGAAAACAACACTTGTTGGAGACTCCTATCCCTAAATGTGAAAACAGCAACTGTTGTCGAAGTTCCCAAATAAAACAGCATTTATCGGAAAATGTAAAACAACTCTTGTCTGTTATCCCAACTAAAACTATTAAATTTCGGAAACTTTGTACAAATATAAATGTCGGAAATATAAAACAAAACTTGTCCTAAAATCTCTGTGGAAAACAACACTTGCCTGAGACCATCAATCGGAAACCTTTTATATAACAATATTTCTCACACACCATCAATTAGAAGCAATATTTGACTTTCTGTGTAAAAACACTTGTCGGATGTCGTGCATGTACAACTATACCTGTCGGAATCCCTGTGAGAAACATTACACTTGTTTGAGATCTTGTATATACGAAACATGTCGGAAATTCTCTATTATTAACACTATAACCCATACTCGTATAATACATTACCCTGAGGAGTTGAAGGTGTGGTAGATAATGGCATCGTGGTAGTAATCGGAGGTGAAGGAGGTGGTAAACATATTACTCCGGCATCTTCGCCATGACCACAGTTTTCAATTCTCCATCCTGGAAATCTACAATCTGTCAATCTCACTTCTGATCCAGTGCACTCAACATCGTCCAGCCAAGTAGGATCTGATCCTTCACCAAAACCCGCTTCTCGCACTTGAGTTCCGCCGCTGTAAAATAAAGATATCCGAGACTTTGCGTATGTATCAAATAAATGATGGGGTAATGATCTTATTCCCATCAGTGCCAAATTTTACGAAACATCTGTCTGTTACAAAATCTTTATTTCACTTATCATATCATTTTGGATTATAGTTTTGATATCTTTATGTAATTGATGTCAAAGGTTAAATGTGATGATCGATAAGTGATTTAAATTGATAAGTGACAGTACCAACATATTCGTTGGTCTCCGATAGTATTCTTCATAACTTCTGACAGCAATCTTGCTGCTGTCTGTTTCTTATCAGCGGTTACATATGTATACACATTTATTCCTCGAAAAAAATTTTGCAGCGAATAAGGTTTAATGACATAATTGCGTTTGTTTCTCTGTTAAATTTGAATTCTATGTGTAATCCGACGCTTTGTACCTTCATGTTTATTAGATACCAGTAGGACCGTTTGGCAACTCCTGGGCATTTTTTAGTATAATTATAGTTTTTGCCCAACAAAAACAAATCCCATGTTGGGACTCTAATCGTTGCTTTTGTTGAAGGACAGAATAGATTTATTACACGATTTTTTATTGGTACATTGTGTATATAGTGAAGCCATAGTCGTTAACAGATCATGTGCATCCTGTTCTCTAGTTCTCTTTAACGGAGAAAGAACATGAAGAGTAACTAGCATCATGTCTGTCTCAGATTTTTGATAAGGACAAACCAGAGCTAGGACCCCATTCATTATTCCTTTTTTAAAATATTCAGAATACATTATGTGATTAGGCGTATATGACAGGTGAGAAGTATATGTTTTAGATCCGGAGCGGCCGTATGGATAACATCATGATATTAAATAGTGATAAAACTCTCATTACATCGTCTAATAAACGACGTTTCCTGCACGATGTAACCAGGCAAACAACATTGATCACACTCTCTTCCAGAAAGAAGTTGGCAGCAAAAAGACGTCATTTTCTTTCTTACTTTTATTCTCTCCTGCAGTCGATGATAACGTTGACTTAATTCATACAGCACATGACTGCACGTTATACCTGATTTGTATATAAGATGAGAAATGCTTGTTTGTATACCTTGTGGTTCCGTAATTGTTAACTTTGACACTATTTACTTGGACTGACAAAGTTTTACATTGCGGATGTTGGCAATGAAACAAACGACGCTAACTATTCCGTAACACCTGGTCTTAATCTCGTAATGACTGAAGAGTCGCCACATAAATCGTTCTATTATTCATATTAATAATAAGGGTGTGACGGGTTGGCATCCCAACACACAGCTCTTGTGAATGAGCACCTCAGCAAGCTACAACATGTAGCAATGAACAACGCCTCAGAGTCTTCCGAGAGGGGGAAGGATGAAAGGCCCACCAGGACGGATTCAACGGCAACGACTCGGCTAGTCCAAACGACATTGACTGGAACAACTGCAGAAACTAGATGTCAGTGTGGAAAAGTCTGCAAAAACCTGAGGGGATTAAAAGTACACAGGGCAAGGACCAAATGTGGGTCTGTGAAGCTAATGGCAGAACGCACAGTGGTAACTGGTCATACGGAGGGTGATGACAGTCAGGATGAACACCACAGTACTGAGGACCTCTTACTTCCTGATGTTACACAGTACAGCATAGGGGAGGAGCCAGTGAACACCGATCTTCCTCAGGCAGGCAGCCACAGACTAGAAGGGACAGAGTGAAATGGCCACCAGCAGACGACAAACAGTGGGAAGTCTTCGATGATGATTTGGACAAGATTCTGGAAGGCACATTAGTTGGAGACGTGGATAAGAAAATAGCAGCCTTATCAACAATTGTACATACACAGATGGTAAAGAACGGTTTGGAAAAGCCAAAGCAGACAAGAAGAGCAATGAGCAAGTTACCAGCAGTAGACGACAGCGAGAGATTGAGTCTCTCAGGAAAGAGATTAGAAGCATTACAAGGCAGTATAAGAAGGCAAACTATGAAGAACAGCTTGGAATCAGTGATTTGAGAGCTACACGAGGGATAGGAGGAAAAATCTGCAGAAGGCGGAAAGAATATGTAAGGCGTGAAAGAGCAGAAAGAAGAACCTCCTTTGTAGCTAACCCATACAGATTCACAAAGACAACATTAGAAGGGAAGAAGTCAGGAAATCTGAAGAGCAATAAAGCAGAGGTCGAAGAACATCTGCGGAACACTCAAAGTGATGACCAGAAGGGGAGACCATTAGGCCAATGCAACAGAATTAGTGAAGTGCCAGAACCAGAGATCGCACTAGATAGCAAAGAACCAACATTGAAGGAGGTGAGGGACGTTGTCATGAAAACAGGATCAGCATCAGCTCCAGGTCCAAATAGTGTACCGTACAAGGTATACAAGAAGTGCCCAAAGATAATTCAGCGGTTATGGAAACTTCTAAAAGTTGTATGGAGGAAAGGAAAGATCCCGGAGAGCTAAAAAAAGGGGGGGGGGATTCTTGATTCCGAAAGAAGAAAACTCCGAACACATCAACCAGTTTCGGACCAATTCACTCCTGAATGTAGAGGGGAAATCTTCTTTGCTGTGCTTTCCAGGAGAATGACGGCCTACATGACAAAGAACCAGTACGTTGACACATCAGTACAGAAAGGAGGGGTACCGGGCTTCTCCGGGTCATAGAACACACCAGCGTCATCTCCCAGCTGATCCAGGAAGCTAAAGTGAACAAAACTGATCTCACAGTGGTATGGTTGGACCTAGCTAATGCATACGGAACTGTCCCATATATGTTGATAGACGAGGCATTAAGGCATTACCACATACCAGAAAACTTTAGGAACCTGATCAGAAGTTTCTTAAGTGGGATACAGCTGAGATTTACCACCAACGAATTCACAACTTCATGGCTGGAACTACAGAATGGAATCGTTACCGGATGCACGATATCTGTGATTATCTTTGTGATGGACATGAACATGATCATGAAAGCAAGGGAGCGAGAGACCAGAGGGCCAAAGACAGCTAGTGACACCAAGCAACCACCAAGCAGGGGATTCATGGACGACTTAACAGTTACCGTGGATACCCACATACAGGCAAGGTGGATTCTGAAAGCCTTAGAAGAGACAGTACCATGGTCTAGAATGTCATTCAAGCCAAGGAAGTCCAGGTCATTGATCACCAAGAAAGGAAAAGTTACGCAAAGTTTCCAACTCCAACTGATAGTGCAAGGCGAGGACATTCCATCTATCTTAGGAAACCCAATCAAGTGCTTAGGAAAGTGGTTTGACCACACATTGAAGGATACAACTAACATCAGGAAAGTTGTATAACAAGTAGAGAAAGGGATGAGAAACATCGACAAGACTGGTCTACCAGGGAAGTTTAAGGTGTGGATGTACCAGCATGGACTCTTACCCAGACTTAAGTGGCCATTGATGCTGTATGAAATCACACTCTAACAAGTAGAGAAGATTGAAAGGGTTGTCAACAGGAATCTTCGGAAGTGGCTTAATTTACCTCCAAGTTTCACATCGGTTGGCCTCTACAGCAGAACAGTCAAACTCCAATTACCAATCACCTCGTTAGTGGAGGAATATAAGGTGGGAAAGTCCAGATTGATAAAGACCCTACGAGACCCAAGGGATGAGAAAGTTCGGATGACAGGAGTACAAGTAAGGACATGGAGGAAGTGGTCAGCTAGCAAAGCAGTAGACGAGGCGTACAGTAGACTCCGATATAAATATATTGTTGGATCAGTCGCACAAGGTAGACAAGGCCTAGGGATGACGAAAACGACCTACTGGAAAGATGCAAGTACATCAGAGAGAAGGGGCATGATCCAGAGAGAGATTCGATCCAAGGAGGAAGAGAGTAGGCAAGCAAAGGCCGTCGAAATGGGAAGCCAGGGGGCGTGGATCAGATGGACAACAGAGCAAAGATTGCTTATCTGGACAGAACTTTGGAGGTACCCTCATTACCAGCTGAGGTTTTTCCTACGGTCAGTTTATGACACTCTGCGGACACCTGCCAACCTAGAGAGATGGAACCTGACCGATAACCCGAATTGCCCCCTTTGTGAAAGGAGAGGGAACCTAGAGCAATAGAATGCCTTCCTGCAGTGTTGCTCTTTCACAGGGACGGTACACGTGGCGACATAATCAGGTCCTAAGAGGGCTGGCAGACATCTTAGAAAGGGAGAGGGTGAGCAGGATTAGGCAGAAGGCACCAAGACCAAGACCTAAGACCATACAGTTTGTGAAGGCAGGGGAAACACTACCAACAGGAAAGATAGGGCGTAGCGGCATCTTGGATCTGGCGGGAGATTGGAAGTTGGTGGCAGACATCGGCCATTATTCTATTATCTTCAATACATACCAACAACTTAAGTTGCATCATTCTATCTATTGTTTTTAGGTGTCAAAGCCTTTGAAACCAACCTGTAGCCAAGCTGCCTACAAACAACTCTGGCATCGACCGCATCCCACAAGTCGTCACAGACCGTTCCCCAGGTGTCGTCATGGTAAATTTCAACACGGCCCTCGTATTGCGTTCCGCCATTCACTAGTCGTATGGATCCTGTATACAAGGTAATTTAAACAAGGTTACCAACTTCTAACTCGCGGCAGTTATCGGATTGGTATTTCCTCTATATTCATATTTGATTAGAAAATCTAGTTGTCTGTCATGTCTGTCTACTGTTAGCATTCATATTGATGATGTGTTTCAAATTAAGAATAATGTGTTTGAATTGAGGAAATATGCATAGGTACATATCATGATTTATGTATAGAATATGAAATAAGAGTGAACGAGAGCAAAGGCCACTTCAGCTTAATTATGTTGATTTAATAGCTTTCAAAACCCCCATTATCATTGAAATCGACTTTCACTCAAAGTTGCTATCCGACACGCTGAATCATAGCTTTAACACAGGTAATATACACACAAATCATTAACAATCACAACAACCTTCTGATGTCCCTGATGTCGTTGTAACAGTGGGAGTAGTCTCCCCTCGTTGTTCACACTTGACTCCTACATCCTCACTATGGCCGCAGTTTTCATTTTGCCATCCTCCAAAACTACAGTCCACAAGTCTTTCCTCGTCCCCTTGACAAACGACATTGTCCATCCAGGTTGGTTCTTCTCCCGGACCGTAAAATCCCTCCTTCTTATAACTCACAGCACTGCAATTGATATCATAGGTAACTTGTGACACAGAGCGTAATAACATTTAATGAAATACATAATATTGTATGGCAATGGTATTTGGCAATCAAACCAATGTCAGTTTTATATTACCAACATATAAACTGCCAACGTAGTAAGAATATTGCAGATAAATAAACAAACTGAACAATCTTATCACAAAGTTAAAATAAAAACTGACAAATACAATCAACCTCAAAATGAGTGTGAACAGGATAAAGGCAAACAGAATGAAGAGCTTGGGTGGTTTGCCTGTATCAAATTGGTTTTAATAATACCTATGATTGCCAACTAAGTGTATTACAAACTTAATAGAATAGATTGTTTACGTGTGATCAATATCGACATCTCGACCTTATTACATAAACGCTTAGTTTAAAAGATAGTTTATAAGCATTGTAAGTTGTCATGTAAGCTATTTTAGAGGGGTCTTTGGTTACGTAATTTCGTTTGTATGGACAGCACTGAATATAATGATTAATTCGTGATTTGACCGGCAGAAATAGGAAATGGAGTATTATTAGTATCCCATTTTCCCAGTAGATTACTTACTTGTGTCCAAGCTGCCTGCACACAACTTGAGTATTGTTGATGGTCCATCCGTCATCACAAACCGTTCCCCACTGTCCAGCGTGATAAATCTCAAGTCGACCCTCCGTGTCTGATGGACCGTTCACCAAACGTATGTCTCCTTCTGAAATATCGTAGGTAACAACTCGATTAATGATGGTTAGAGACATAAAAACATGCGTTATAGAAAAGTCAGAATATAGCTTCATGTCAACATAATCATAGTTCAAACTAGGGCAAAGTACGAAAACAGATTTACACGGAGATTCCTAAAGAAAAAAAGGACCAAGTATTTCGGAAGAGTAAGAGTCTTCTACTTTATCAACGACACCCGCCATGTAAACCTTGGTCAATCCAAGTAAGTAATGTCACTTTCTCAAATGGGAACAAGGTATATAACAGTTAAGCTGAGGTGCCGATGTCTTTGGGACTCGCGTTGTCCTGCTGCAGCATAACGTAACGTTGATGGATAAGAGGAAGGAGGTGTAATCTCAAGACCAGATCCCTCCCGTTATGTTACTGCTGGATGATATTGCCATTGATAACCACGAGAGGTGTTTTCACGCATTGAGACATCCCTGCCAATACCATATCAGACCCTTTCCCGAATCTCTCGCTTTCCGTTACGCAAGCGTCAGAATATCGCTCACCACGACGTTGATAGACACGTTGTCGTCCATCTGACTTGTAAAGCCAAACAAAACCGATAAGGCAATGTGTAAGCAGACAATGCTTTTGACGTGGCGGACAAAACGACGTTTGCCTTAAATGAAAGTCCCTCAACCTATTCCTAACCTATCTTGGACACACAGGCTGACCTTGAGTGCCGACAACTTGTTGTGTCATCTCTGTGGTTGTCTGAAATTGGCTGTGGAGGTGTGAGATATGTAAGCCCCTATCTTGACGTCGCGATATAACCCGCGGGCGTCCCCTCCAGTGACAGTTATCAATTCTCCCTGTTGCTTTCAGACACCCATATTTCTGGTTTGCATGACGAATTTCCCTGCGTTATTAGAGCAATGGCCGTACCCCTATCGACTTCACTCAGTTGCTTTGAAAACGAAATGTTGTGTAGCTGACCTGTACTATTCTAATATTCCAGTTGTTACGATTTACCGGTACATGTGATCATGTTTCGTTCACGTGTCTAAACGTTATATTACAAAAAATAGTAATAACGATAATAAAAATTGCGGTTTTTTCCCGCAAGTATACTTCTACTAGTGTACTATTCGAATATTCGATTTGTAGCGATTTACCGGTACATGTGATCATGTTTCGTTCACGTGTCTAAACGTTATATTACAAAAAATAGTAATAACGATAATAAAAATTGCGGTTTTTTGCCGCAAGTATACTTCTACTAGTGTACTATTCTAATATTCGATTTGTAGCGATTTACCGGTACATGTGATCATGTTTCGTTCACGTGTCTAAACGTTATATTACAAAAAATAGTAATAACGATAATAAAAATTGCGGTTTTTTCCCGCAAGTATACTTCTACTAGTGTACTATTCTAATATTCGATTTGTAGCGATTTACCGGTACATGTGATCATGTTTCGTTCACGTGTCTAAACGTTATATTACAAAAAATAGTAATAACGATAATAAAAATTGCGGTTTTTTTCCCCGCAAGTATACTTCTACTAGTGTACTATTCTAATATTCGATTTGTAGCGATTTACCGGTACATGTGATCATGTTTCGTTCACGTGTCTAAACGTTATATTACAAAAAATAGTAATAACGATAATAAAAATTGCGGTTTTTTCCCGCAAGTATACTTCTACTAGTGTACTATTCGAATATTCGATTTGTAGCGATTTACCGGTACATGTGATCATGTTTCGTTCACGTGTCTAAACGTTATATTACAAAAAATAGTAATAACGATAATAAAAATTGCGGTTTTTTCCCGCAAGTATCCTTCAAAATATGACCATATTTGTGTAAAACCCTTGGTGTCTAAATCAAATACATGCCACGTCATCACTCATGATTAGACAAGAGAATTTTATGCAACTGAAGACATGTAATTACCTTGAACTGATGGCCTCGGCGTTGTTGGAGGTGCCTGGGTGGATGTGGTCGGTGTTGGCCTGGTGGACAACGGCGGCCCACAAACAACACCCGCATCTTCAGTGTGACCGCAGTTTTCAACACCCCATCCTCGCGAGGAACAGTCTGCCAGACGAGATTCGTACCCACCACATCCGACATCGTCCAACCATGTCGGCTCTGCGCCGGCACCGAAGGCTGCTTCCCGTCTAGCGTAGCCATCGCTTTAACACGAAAAGAATATTATGATTTAAGATCCATTTAATATTTTTGTACAATATTTCATAATTGACTATTTGGCCATTTATGAAAACTGTTTGAAAATTAAATCGATTAGCATATGAACACATTCGTGAATATCTTTCGATGATAATTCAAAGTATATCAAGTTTTAAAGAGAATGGTTCAAATCTCGTGAAAAAATATCTGGACAATATCTAAATACCTTTGAAAAATTGATTCAAAATACTGTTCATGATAACGCTATGTCAAATTGGTCGAAACCTACAAATGTTTCGAAAAAACATTTGAAAACATCTCTCATAACCCTCTGTTGTGAGCCTGTCTGTTAGATATCCTGCACGTGACACTTTACCGTTATCTACATCTCTCATAACCCTCTGTTGTGAGCCTGTCTGTTAGATATCCTGCACGTGACACTTTACCGTTATCTACATCTCTCATAACCCTCTGTTGTGAGCCTGTCTGTTAGATATCCTGCACGTGACACTTTACCGTTATCTACATCTCTCATAACCCTCTGTTGTGAGCCTGTCTGTTAGATATCCTGCACGTGACACTTTACCGTTATCTACATCTCTCATAACCCTCTGTTGTGAGCCTGTCTGTTAGATATCCTGCACGTGACACTTTACCGTTATCTACATCTCTCATAACCCTCTGTTGTGAGCCTGTCTGTTAGCTATCCTGCACGTGACACTTTACCGTTATCTACATCTCTCATAACCCTCTGTTGTGAGCCTGTCTGTTAGATATCCTGCACGTGACACTTTACCGTTATCTACATCTCTCATAACCCTCTGTTGTGAGCCTGTCTGTTAGCTATCCTGCACGTGACACTTTACCGTTATCTACATCTCTCATAACCCTCTGTTGTGAGCCTGTCTGTTAGCTATCCTGCACGTGACACTTTACCGTTATCTACATCTCTCATAACCCTCTGTTGTGAGCCTGTCTGTTAGATATCTTGCGCGGAAATTGCGGAATTGGGAACGATTGACTATCGAATTACCGGCGACATTCCAACACAAAAGTTTGGGTAAGCAGCAATTTTGCTATCATGAATCAGGGAATGTGAAATCGTAGCGAAATATCGATGTGAGCGGCTTCTGTAGAAGAGTTTATCGTGTCGTAAATTTCCAAGTATTGTTGATATATATGATGGACATGGTCTTAAATTCTCTTTTCATTTTATTTAAAAAGTCGTCACATATACTAACGACCATTAGAGTTATCCCCCTTCATGATAATGTCCCCTTGTTAAAGTAGTCATTATTCGTTGTTATCCACCGTCAGTTGACTAACACCCTACACATGACCACACTTTTATGTACAGGGTCACCAATGTTAAAAATACCTAGCGTTTGACGTGAATTATCTTGTAAATAGATTTTGCTACTATTGATACTGTAATATTGACGATTATCAACCCTTATACTGACCTGGTTATGACTTCGGTGTACAAGGTAAGAACTTAAGAATAATTCATGATATAATATTCCAAGGAATTTGCTTCTGCCTATCAAACACACGGCAAACTTGAATTGAATTGAAGTGAATAGCATATTTCATAATTCAAAGTTAGATACAATAGAGACAAACAATGAATCAAACTGCATCATACAGCTGTTTCGTCCTTCTAGGATTGACTTATCAGTGATGCTAAGAGCCTAAATTTTACAACATAAGAGATCACTGAGGAAACTCCAAACCGATCGAAAGAAAAGTCAAAATGTGGACAGGGAGGTGTAGAAGCCTCATGATTAAATTTATTTCCTAGTTTTCATAAATCAGACAATTTTAGAACAGTGTCAAGTACATGTATATATTGATTATAGGTATATGCACTGTATCATTTACATGTAAATTACCTGTATCCTAATTGTCTACAAACAACCTGCGCATCACTTTCACCCCATTCATCGTCACAGACTGTTCCCCAGCGTCCACTGTGGTATATTTCAACACGGCCTTCATATATTGTCGACCCATTTACTAGTCGTATGTCACCTACAAATTAAAACCGTGAAATACTGAGTAAATATACAAAAATAGACCTGATCAATTTCCTGAGAACGTACTCTTCGCCGAAGATATATTGCGATAAAATAGCTTACGGTAAGGGATATACGATATGTATATCAATTCCATCAAAAATACCCCTTTTTATTCAACATTTTGGAAAACCGAAAAAAATAAATAAAAAAATACAGAAAACATGTTCAAAGAGTCATAGCGCACTATAGCATCAATGAAAATCCAAACTCTATTTGCAGCAAAATCGAGTACGATATTATACAACAATCTGACTTATATACAAACTCAATCTCCCGCCAAGAAATACAAAGACATTACTTCTAGAAAACTAGTATCAGTATAAAGATATCTGACTGACTGTATCTGTACAAAGATATCTGTATCGGTAAAAAGATATCTGACTGTATCGGTACAAAGATATCTGTATCTGTACAAAGATATCTGACTGTATCGATAAAAAGATATCTGACTGACTGTATCTGTAAAAAGATATATGACTGTATCAGTACAAAGATATCTGACTGTATCGGTACAAAGATATCTGACTGTATCGGTACAAAGATATCTGACTGTATCGGTACAAAGATATATGACTGACTGTACCGGTACAAAGATATCTGACTGACTGTATCAGTACAAAGATATCTGACTGTTTCGGTACAAAGATACCTGACTGTATCAGTTCTAAGATATCTGTCTGTATCGGTACAAAGATATCTGACTGTATCAGTTCTAAGATATCTGTCTGTATCGGTACAAAGATATCTGACTGTATCAGTTCTAAGATATCTGTCTGTATCGGTACAAAGATATCTGACTGTATCAGTACAAAGATATATGTCTGTATCAGTACAAAGATATCTGACTGTATCTGTACAAAGATATATGACTGTATCAGTACAAAGATATCTGACTGTATCGGTACAAAGATATCTGACTGACTGTATCTGACTGACTGTATCGGTACAAAGATATCTGACTGTATCGGTACAAAGATATCTGACTGACTGTATCGGTACAAAGATATCTGACTGTATCAGTACAAAGATATCTGACTGACTGTATCGGTACAAAGATATCTGCCTGTATCGGTACAAAGATATCTGACTGTATCGGTAAAAAAATATCTGACTGACTGTATCAGTACAAAGATATATGACTGTATCGGTACAAAGATATCTGACCGTATCTGTACAAAGATATCTGACCGTATCGGTACAAAAATATCTGACTGTATACAAAGATATATGACAAAGATATCTGACTGTATCGGTACAAAGATATCTGACTGTATCAGTACAAAGATATATGACTGTATCGGTACAAAGATATCTGACCGTATCTGTACAAAGATATCTGACCGTATCGGTACAAAGATATATGACGGTATCGGTACAAAGATATCTGACTGTATCGGTACAAAGTATCGGTACAAAGATATATGAGTGTATCGGTACAAAGATATCTGACTGTATCAGTACAAAGATATCTGATCGGTACAAAGATATCTGACTGTAGTACAAAGATATCTGACTGACTGTATCGGTACAAAGATATCTGCCTGTATCGGTACAAAGATATCTGACTGTATCGGTAAAAAGATAACTGACTGTATATACTGACTGTATCGGTACAAAGATATCTGACTGTATCGGTACAAAGATATGACTGTCTACAAAGATATCTGACTGTATCGGTACAAAGATATCTGAATGTATCGGTACAAAGATATCTGACTGTATCGGTACAAAAATATCTGACTGTATCGGTACAAAGATATCTGACTGTATCGGTACAAAGATATCTGACTGTATCGGTACAAAGATATCTGACTGTATCGGTACAAAGATATATGACGGTATCGGTACAAAGATATCTGACTGTATCGGTACAAAAATATCTGACTGTATCGGTACAAAGATATCTGACCGTATCGGTACAAAAATATCTGACTGTATCGGTACAAAAATATCTGACTGTATCGGTACAAAGATATATGACTGTATCGGTACAAAGATATCTGACTGTATCGGTACAAAGATATATGACTGTATCGGTACAAAGATATATGAGTGTATCGGTACAAAGATATCTGACTGTATCAGTACAAAGATATATGACTGTATCAGTACAAAGATATCTGACTGTATCTGTACAAAGATATCTGACTGTATCAGTACAAAAATATCTGACTGTATCGGTACAAAGATATCTGACTGTATCAGTTCAAAGTTATATTTCTGACTGTATCTGTACAAAGATATCTGACTGTATCGGTACAAAGATATCTGACTGTATCGGTACAAAGATATATGACTGTATCGGTACAAAGATATATGAGTGTATCGGTACAAAGATATCTGACTGGATCGGTACTAAGATATATGACCGTATCAGTACAAAGATATCTGACCGTATCAGTACAAAGATATCTGACTGACTGTATCGGTACAAAGATATCTGCCTGTATCGGTACAAAGATATCTGACTGTATCGGTACAAAGATATGATATACTGACTGTATCGGTACAAAGATATCTGACTGTATCGGTACAAAGATATCTGACTGTATCGGTACAAAGATATCTGACTGTATCAGTACAAAGATATCTGACTGTATCGGTACAAAGATATCTGACTGTATCGGTACAAAGATATCTGACTGTATCGGTACAAAGATATCTGACTGACTGTATCGACTGTATCAGTACAAAGATATATGACTGTATCGGTACAAAGATATCTGACCGTATCTGTACAAAGATATCTGACCGTATCGGTACAAAAATATCTGACTGTATCGGTACAAAGATATATGACGGTATCGGTACAAAGATATCTGACTGTATCGGTACAAAGATATCTGACTGTATCGGTACAAAGATATCTGACTGACTGTATCGGTACAAAGATATCTGACTGTATCGGTACAAAGATATCTGACTGTATCGGTACAAAGATATCTGACTGTATCGGTACAAAGATATCTGACTGACTGTATCGGTACAAAGATATCTGACTGTATCGGTACAAAGATATCTGACTGTATCGGTACAAAGATATCTGACTGTATCGGTACAAAGATATCTGACTGTATCGGTACAAAGATATATGACTGTATCGGTACAAAGATATCTGACTGTATCGGTACAAAGATATCTGACTGTATCAGTACAAAGATATCTGACTGACTGTATCGGTACAAAGATATCTGACTGTATCGGTACAAAGATATCTGACTGTATCGGTACTAAGATATCTGACTGTATCGGTACAAAGATATCTGACTGTATCGGTACAAAGATATCTGACTGACTCTATCGGTACAAAGATATCTGACTGTATCGGTACAAAGATATCTGACTGTATCGGTACAAAGATATCTGACTGTATCGGTACAAAGATATCTGACTGTATCGGTACAAAGATATCTGACTGTATCGGTACAAAGATATCTGACTGTATGACTGATATCGGTACAAAGATATCTGACTGTATCGGTACAAAGATATCTGACTGTATCGGTACAAAGATATCTGACTGTATCGGTACAAAGATATCTGACTGTATCGGTACTAAGATATCTGACTGTATCGGTACAAAGATATCTGACTGTATCAGTACAAAGATATCTGACTGACTGTATCGGTACAAAGATATCTGACTGTATCGGTACAAAGATATCTGACTGACTGTATCGGTACAAAGATATCTGACTGACTGTATCGGTACAAAGATATCTGACTGTATCGGTACAAAGATATCTGACTGTATCGGTACAAAGATATCTGACTGTATCGGTACTAAGATATCTGACTGTATCGGTACAAAGATATCTGACTGTATCGGTACAAAGATATCTGACTGTATCGGTACAAAGATATCTGACTGTATCGGTACAAAGATATCTGACTGTATCGGTACAAAGATATCTGACTGTATCGGTACTAAGATATCTGACTGTATCGGTACAAAGATATCTGACTGTATCAGTACAAAGATATCTGACTGACTGTATCGGTACAAAGATATCTGACTGACTGTATCGGTACAAAGATATCTGACTGTATCGGTACAAAGATATCTGACTGTATCGGTACAAAGATATCTGACTGACTGTATCGGTACAAAGATATCTGACTGTATCGGTACAAAGATATCTGACTGTATCGGTACAAAGATATCTGACTGTATCGGTACAATATCTGACTGTATCGGTACTAAGATATCTGACTGTATCGGTACTAAGAAGATATCGGTGATATCTGACTGTATCGGTACAAAGATATCTGACTGTATCGGTACTAAGATATCTGACTGTATCGGTACTAAGATATCTGACTGTATCGGTACAAAGATATCTGACTGTATCGGTACTAAGATATCTGACTGTATCGGTACAAAGATATCTGACTGTATCGGTACAAAGATATCTGACTGTATCGGTACAAAGATATCTGACTGTATCGGTACAAAGATATCTGACTGTATCGGTACAAAGATATCTGACTGTATCGGTACAAAGATATCTGACTGTATCGGTACTAAGATATCTGACTGACTGTATCGGTACAAAGATATCTGACTGTATCGGTACAAAGATATCTGACTGTATCGGTACAAAGATATCTGACTGTATCGGTACTAAGATATCTGACTGTATCGGTACAAAGATATCTGACTGTATCGGTACTAAGATATCTGACTGTATCGGTACTAAGATATCTGACTGTATCGGTACTAAGATATCTGACTGTATCGGTACTAAGATATCTGACTGTATCGGTACAAAGATATCTGACTGTATCGGTACAAAGATATCTGACTGTATCGGTACAAAGATATCTGACTGTATCGGTACAAAGATATCTGACTGTATCGGTACTAAGATATCTGACTGTATCGGTACTAAGATATCTGACTGTATCGGTACTAAGATATCTGACTGTATCGGTACTAAGATATCTGACTGTATCGGTACTAAGATATCTGACTGTATCGGTACTAAGATATCTGACTGTATCGGTACTAAGATATCTGACTGTATCGGTACTAAGATATCTGACTGTATCGGTACTAAGATATCTGACTGTATCGGTACAAAGATATCTGACTGTATCGGTACAAAGATATCTGACTGTATCGGTACTAAGATATCTGACTGTATCGGTACTAAGATATCTTGTTGCCCTTACAAATTTGCAAATTTAGAAAAAGAAGAGTCTTATTCTATTTTAAATTCCATAAGCCGTACAGGTACAAGACAATTGTAGTGAAGAAGCGGCTATGATATAATTTCTATAACCCAATAGTGTTTATTGTTATCTAATTGCTCATAAAAGAACTTAACAAATAATAAATTAGTATGAAAGAGCAAACTGTTCGTGTGTTTTATTAATAGAAAACTCATTTAAATCACTGCCCTATTCAGTTATCGGTCGTTTCCTGGACGTTGGAGGTATGTTTTTAGTGTTAATGG